GAATGTTTCTAACGGAGAACCGGAACTCTGGGAGCTAGATGGTAAGTCTGAATCTGTCGAAGTGGGTATTGATGGAGCAGATGCAGAATCGGTGTTAGCTCCAGTAGGTGGCTCCTCGGGAGCCTTCGGTTTAAAACTATCACTCTCAGCATCCAATAAAGTATCCCAACAGATTGCACATCCAGGAGAGGAAGAGTCGGTGGCCTCTGCGCCATCTACGTGGCCACCAGGCGCGCCTCCAACTCTTTCCAAGCGCTTTACGAGTCCTGTGGGTACGGTCTCCAGACCCGCAATGAGTTTCTTTGCTCGTTCAGGATCTTCACGATTATCATCAAGCCCTCCGAATTGTTGCATTTGCTGCAAAAAATCTGCGAATGCTTGAAGAAAATCATCCCGACCTCCAGCAGCATCTGGAGGCACATTCGCTGGACCGAATGGGGGCGGGGCAGCGCCACCTCCATTCTGATTGGGAGGACCTCCAAGTGGTATTGTGAAAGTAAAACCTGCAGTTAAGATAGGCACGGCATGATGTGCGTGACCAGGGATTGGATTATTTTGCGGTTGTGGAGGATGGGCAACGCCCTCACCAGTATGTTCTACCGTGATATTCTCAGCGCCAGGTGCAGGTCCCGGTGATGCATTACCACCAGGCAATGGGTTCATCCCAAATAAGGGAGCCATGAAGCTATTTAGGAATGCCTGGGTGCCGGCAGGTGGGTGCTGCTCGGGGTTAGACGGCTGTGGAGGAGGCAAAGGAGGCGAGAGAGGACGACCTACACGCTCTGAAGGATGTCTGCGATCCCGGGCTTCGTCTACATCATCATCTACCCGAGCGCGTCTACTCCCAGCGATAGGCTCGAGCGGTGGTAGATCGTCTTCATCATCCGTCCAGTCACTGTCGTGGTCATCATCGACGGCCAGGAGATTGGGTAAAGTCTCTGCACGAGAGGACTGGCTGTCGTCTGACTCATCAGAGTCAGATACGGAGCGCAGCTCAGGCATGGAGTCCTCATCATCATCGCGGGTGGGCTGGGCTTGCAAAGATGGAATACTGGAAGCAAGTGGCATATCTACATCTTCTGCAGATGGTACAGGCTGCGAGGTCTCGGCGAGGGGCGGAAGGGTAGAAGTTTCGGGAACTGGGGTCCTGTCAGGATCTACTGCAAGTTCATGGGCGTCTATAGGCTCGGCTGGGAGCGCGTCAGACATGATGACTTCCTGTGTGGAGCTCTGCTGTGCAGGATGATTGTGATTATGGGAGAAAGCCTGGTTTATATTTCGAAATACGTTCTGAAGTGTCGTTGGTAGATGGAAGTTGTGACCAAAACGATGACCACGGCCGTCGTCATTACCGCCGTTGCTGTTGTCCATGTCAAATCTGGAACTGTGCCCTACGATGTATGCAGTCGCACACAAGAAAGTGATAGTGATGCTGGTAGCAGTAGTGGTGGCGGTTGTAGAACAAGGATGAACGAACGATTGTCTCTTGGACCAGGGCAATCTATCCACAATGCCGTGTTGATGACTAATCCCGTGTTAATGACTAATCATATCCTGTCTAGGAAGCACCAGAATATTCCCGTCGTATCCGTTTCTCTCTCAAACGTCGAGCAACTTAAGTTAACAGGCGAACTTCATTCACGCACAATAAGTACCCACAAGTAGTATATAAAGGATGTCAGCAACATAATTTGAAGTCTCACTGCACCTTCTTCCCCTTTCCTTTCCCTTTCCGCTTCTGCTTTTGCTTTCCGACGTACTTGCGCACGCTCGGCACGCCGAACTATATTTTCGATTTTAGCCAACGCCAGAGACACAAGCACTCAATGGACAAGGGGCACGCACCCTAATTGCCGGATACAATACCAGCAAGATTCCCCCAATCGCCCATGCCCACCGAACATACAATGGAAGTGGCTCCGTAAACCGACCCTTGCCCCATTTAGTGATGACCAGAAGTTCGGTCAAGATCGTGGCTAGAAGCAGCCACACATGTTGCCCCATTCGTTTCGCTTTTCTAAGAATGATGAGAAGATATTCGAGAGTCACTCGCACAGCATACATACCTCGGGTTGTTTATGTATTGGTAAAGCTCTCGTACGGCAGGCAATGCGCAAAGAAAGACGCCTGCTAGCCTTAGTATCACAATCGGATGATCAGGCTCCATCCAAAGGAGACTCTACAATTTCCGTGAGAATCGCAACCAGGGCAACGGGCACATCAGTGTGCTGACCTTGAGATAGAATGGATTCAACTCCGCAGCAAGGAAGACTGCTAGGAGCAGTACGACTATTAGATAGTGCAAGAATGATGCAGTCCCCTCCCATTTGAATGCCGTCCAGTCATGTGGGGAAAACTGGCTGAGCACACGGCGAGCCTTTGACCGCAATCCCCTAGTTTGCCGTAGACCGCGCCACTCGTAGGGCTGAAACATATATGTGTTTATAGCACACACAGACGAGGTGGTTGCTTACCTTCACTTCCAAATATTGACAAGTCTTCATGCCTATTATGTCGTATATGTCATATTAGCATTATATACATTTCTCATCCGAGATTCCTGATACTCACCCAGATAGGTTCCTAACCAGTTGCAGACTAGAACATCAAGTATCCACTGCGGAAGCAAAATTATCAAGTGTCAGGTCAAGACGATGATGGCGTACATGGTCCCACCAACACTGTCAGTCGACGAGTTTTTTTTAAATCAATGCTAATTGTCATGTGGTAGATTGGGCGGCATACCTCGGCAAAGTTCGCAAGTTGATGTTGTAGGCTATACTCTGCGAACTCAAATGCAATGCTCAGAATCTGAGGCTGAGATGTAGATCGGTATCAAAAAGAAGATAAATTAGGAATACCCAACAAAACCAATAGTCGCGCAGTATCATGGCCTTGCCGAACCAGCCCAGAGCGTGCGCTAGACAAAATATATCGATTGAATCCTATAGACTCATCAGCATCACTGAACTATGTAGCGACGGTAAAAATATCTCACCCAGATATTCTGCGGCGTCAATTCGCAGTGTTCCGCATAGCTCTTCTCAGGTAAAGGCCGGTTTAGTGAAGGATCCAAAAGGGTCATCATTCGTCGCGCAGAGTTCAGATCTTGGAATAGCAAGAAGACGAGAGCAAGCTCGTAAAGTAAATTGATTCCAAGTATCGCACGCCAAAATGCGGGGTGGGGACGAATGAATGGTCCATCCCGGAATTGGATCATCGAGAACATGAGGAATGAGACTACTGCAGCATAGGCGCCCCTGTTGAAGAATGTTGGTGGTTACTATCAAATTCCACACAAAGACATCATTCGAACGCACACACGCCGTTTGTCCCGGCCTTCTTCCAAAACATCCTGGGTCATAGCTACATAGCTTAATGCAGCCAGGCCAAAGCCGAGTGCAGTTAGCGTAATTGGCTTATAGAAAAACCTGAGGGCTGTGAGCACGAAAGACTAATATCATAATGCGTACAATTACTCACTCTATAGATGTATCATGCAACTCTTGGAAAGGCGCAATTCGCGTATATGACTCTGTCCTATCCGCCTATATGTTATGATTCCCACTCAATCTTTAAATTTAACTATTCCAAATTCGTCCACTCACATCATACCCTATGGAGAACGCTCAGATTGTGAGTTGCGCAAAAAAAACAGAGCCACTCACAGCGAACAGGTTTACCATTGAGCCCAGGTTCCGGCCTAGCATCGGGAGGCGGTGAGAGCAACGCGTCGGGATCTGATTCTCCCACTTGAGATGTGGGCGATGTATTCTCGGCTTCGTGAGCCATCGCAATGTAGATGATGGTTTGAATGCACGCAGCTAGCTGTAAGGGCTTGGCCTGCCCTGCTGCTCGTTTCATTTCAGTGACACGTGAGCAATGTTACCAATAAGGATCAGTTTTGATGGAATTTCGCTTTCCATGGAACCAAATTCTGAACAGAACCGCTGAGTGACAAGTTACAACCCTCAAGTTTTATTATAAGTACTCTACTATAACCGACCATAGAAAAAGAAGGCAGTCGTCCCTTTTTTGACGCGAATGTCAGATAGCATAGCATTGGGCGTATCGAGTCGCGGCGAACACAGGAAGGATCTCACGTATCCAGTGCGTAGGCCGAATGACGAGCATATGCAATTGCGGTCGATACGGGAACTAATTCATCATTTTCCTACATAGGCTTCCATGGTCGCTGCCCATGATATATGGAATGTCGGTCGTCCATCATTGATTAATCAATCGAACATTTGAAAAAAGGCACCAGAACATAATCATTGGTCAAGGCCAGGTACTGATGGCGGCCTGAACTCAGCGGTCAAATACTTGGCGAGAGTTCTCGAACCTTGCGACCGCCGCGGCAGGCGCTTTGATGGAAAGTCAGTCGAGTGCGCTTTCTAGCTTGTTCTGCGACATCAACCTGCCTCGATTTGCTGCTGCCAACCAACCAACCAACCGCCGAATCATCTTGCAAATCTAAATATCGCGTGCACGTGCGCGTTGACTAGTAATGAAAGGGGGCTGTGATGGGTTGTAATGTCCTGCTCTGTCCTGTCCTGTTGTAATCAAGTAAATGCTAACGGAATATTCTTTGATCAGCGATTGATCGCTTGCCATAAGTCGAAGGTGCATTTTCAAACATTGAACCCCATTTCGAACCGTCGGCATTTTTTAATTATATCACTCCTCTCCCGGTCAGTACACTTGCGTTTCAATTGTCAACCATATACGTCCCCGACACCAGACAAGCCATGTGGTCGAAACAACATCGATATGAGACCCTATTGAATCGCCGTCGAGAGCTGGCCCCTCTCCCATACTTCAGCGCCTTCACTTTTATCCATATCTGTCGAGATTAATTCATTTCACCCTCATTTTCTCATCAGTCATGTCAATTGAATACTCCGACGGCATCACGCTGTGCCAGCAGTTGCCCCCACCCGGATCTTCGGCCGGGCTTACCGGAGCGACTATCGTTCGGATGCTCCTCGTTTCATTTCGCGAGCTGTACGAACTTCGAACGTTGTATGCATGGCTTCAAGTTCTTCGACCTCTGCGGCCTTCTGCTCCACATGTTGTGGGGCATCCCCAGTTCGTTTCGAGGGACGAGGCCCTTGCGAGATTCGATACCTCCGTTTCGTAAGCGGGATGGCGAACAGAGAAGTCTGATGAATATCTGTTCCATGACACACTTTCATGACACATTAATGTCAGAACCAATAGCAATGGACACTATTTGATACCATCGGTGAGAGGTCTCTTCTCCGAGTGCTTCGCTTCGGTGGTATCAAACAATGTTGCCATCCGTGCCGGAACATTAGTCCATCTTTGCTATTCCTGATTTATTCTCAGACGTTTTTGACGCGACGGCGGTTAAATGCATGGATTAGGAGTACCGAAACTGGTTATGTAAACCTTCCGGTCTTCGTAATGCAACTTGGAGCATTTGGAGCATCATGATCATATGAACAATGGCGCAACTATCTCAGCTAGCGACAAGTTTACCGTAGGATTCAATTTAGGCGGTGCTTATCTGTCCACCAATCTGTGCGTACTAGTGTCCGACGGGACGATGAGTGCTTTTGTGGATACTCCGTGGGCTTCCCACTTGGTAGCAAAATTAAACATTCGATCGTCGTAGGGTTGAGGTTTTGCCAAGACTTTTAGACAGCAATTGATTGTCGATCCCATCAGTCTGGTAAAACGGTTGAGCTTTTCCTTCCGTCTTCTTCTCTCACTGGGCAATAGTACTAGCGTCCCTGCACATCTTGACTGATGGGTCTCCGTTTCATTTTGTACAAAGCACCTTCTCGAATTTCTAGAAGTACCAATACAAGGTGAGCTAGTAGCCGCTGGTGAACTTTCCACGTAACCGGTGATCGAATGCTGTCCTCGGATTTCCTCCTGACGATCCTCGGCGCAGGAACGAGGTACCTGAATGTGCCAGCGTCATTTTGGCGATCTCACGCCATTGACGTCCCTGAACCACCTGTGGAGGTGCGTGGCAAGGACCCCGGACAATGCCCGTAGAACCTTGATCCCGGAGCACGGGCCCGTTTCTGGAAAGTCCGGTGCGGATTCGTTCAGGGGATCATATCCCGCCAGATTTTTGGGTCTTGATACAAAGGAAACCTTTTCACTCCACGGGAGGCTTCTTGCGATGAGCGTAGACAACTGTCCCCTTAAGTAATCTCTATTTTACCCGTTATCTTCTAGCGTGATAATCTGGTATTGCGCCTGTCAAGAGTCCGTCCAGTGATCAGTAGCGGGACTGTTGTAGACAGTAGTCAGCATGAATAGAAGTTGTTTAGCCGTAGAAGCGCGCGTTGATAACAATAGAATGCGGTCGCCGCGGGAATCGATCGAAATCCCTCGCAGAATTGTTACTTGTAAGTTTTTGAAAGATTGAAGGGGGCAGCAATGGCGTCAGTGCTGGCAATAGCACCGTACTTACCTGTCGTGCCTTTCCCCTCCTGGGGGGCTACAACCAAATATGATACGATTTGATCACATCATGTTGAGGAATATACTGACTCGAAAGTCCTGAGAGGGGATGTACGATGCCAAAGTCGCCGGTGGTCGATGAGAGTAACCAAGAAAGGCAAGGAAGGGTCAATTATGCAGCGGCCGGCTGCATTAGCGGAATTTCTACTAAGGGGGTGGCGATTTGTTTCCATCCCGAGCTGCTCGTTCGACTTGCGAACGGCGTGTTCTTGCTGCTCCTTCAGTAAGTTACGAGTTAGCTGACGCCACGTCGTACGGATGGGGACTTTTGATCGGACCATGTTAGCTTGGTACCCTAGTTGATTACGCACCTCCACAATGCCGATAAGTTTATCCAAACGCTGGAGCCACGGATTCGAAGTCATGGTTGGCGTGATTCGCAAGAATATCGGCATGGTCAGTAGCTTCATCGTAGGACCAGAGTGCGCGCTCACGGTCAGTCGAGGCTTCTGTGCACTAATCAGCAAGCGTTGTAGGTGACTAAAGGACTTTTGCTAAGTGGTCTGTTGTCCTCCGTGGTCGGACTCTGAAGCTTGAGGAGAGAAGCAAGTAGAGGGCAACCGCCTGTATCCGGACCGATGTAGATTTTGAAATGGACATGGAGGTCATCTAGATCTGGGGTCCTAGTAAAGTCGCGGGATTTTACCAAAGTCATCAAGGATCATTAAGGAACCTCTACCTCGAAGTTGTTAACGACGTTTATGAGCAGAACCTAGAGCCCATGTGCCCGAGAAAGTACTGATATTGCGGTGGTATTCATTTCAAGCGGGGGTCTCGGAAAGTGCCTTGTGGACTGAATACGTGACGTCGGGATATTCCGCGACGGGCACAACAAATCGAATTCGGTGTTCTCCAGGCTTGGTTCTCAGTGATGAATATTTTGCCTGAGTTTTTCCAATCTGGCAGACATTAGTAGTGATGCCCATCGAGGTAATAGTGGTCTGTGGTGGCCCTGTTCGGTTTGACTGTCGTCGAGTAGAAATACCTGATTGGAATCTGACCATACATTAGAAAAGGAAGATCAGAGCCAAAAATGCGGTAGGTTCGTAGTTCAAACTCAACTCAGATCAAGACTGTCCTTGCCGACTATAGCGGATCCTTTATGGATTCCCCCGATCTTGACAAGACAATGCCCTCTCCGAGCCAAGACGTAAGCATAGCGCTGTCCGTCTTGTGATAGGGGATACTGGAGCAGAGGTGAACGCACGGTTGACGTTATTGGGACCTCAGAATTCCCCCGTTATTCTCAGGCAAGAAATGACGTCGGGTGATCCGTGAAATGCGAGATATCAAAGTTCAGGTAGACGGTGAACTAGTAACTAAACTATAGGTGGATGTCGCGGCGGTGTTCGCTGAGATTTAACTTTTCTGATGGGATTTCCGAGGTCACACTGCTTTTGCATTTAGACTCTCTAGTGCGCGGTGGCTGAGTAGGAAGGAGATGTGTCCGAATTAGGTAATCCAGGTCTGCGCTCACACGTTGTATTTATGTCACTGGAAGGCAACCTTGTACAGGGCTGGATCCCACAGAGTCCACTTTTTGCGAAGAAGTCTACATCAGCCCGAGGTGATCTGGATCTCAAAAGATCTCTTATGGTCTGTTACTTAATGCCCCGTCAACACATAAGTAACACTAGCTTTATTCTCTTAATCTCGTTTCAGCTCGTTCCTTCCTCGCCTCTTGAATGTCCTCTGATTCCTTTCAACAACCACTACAGCTAAAAGGCGAAATCATGGATCTCGAATTCACCGTCGATACTGACCACCGCAAGAGAAGACGCAATAGAACAACTCAGTCATGTCTTAATTGTCATACCTCAAAGCGCAAGGTTCACTCCCTTTCTCTCTCAAACCCGTACCCATCTTTGACGCGCAACTAGTGTGATAGAAAACGTCCGTGCCAGCGATGCATACAACTCGGCTTAGTACACTCCTTCCTTTTCGCCTCTCTTATTACATATTAATTCCTCGTTTTTTCAGACTGGCCTTTGTGTCTATGAGATCGATGACCCAGCACTCAGGTTTGTGTTTTTTTGGTGGCGTCCTACCACTTTGAGCTTATCTCATATAACTCAGGGATGATCCCACGATCGATGAAGCTACTCGTTTGAGGAACAGAATTGCAGAACTCGAAAGTCTCGTGAGGGAGTTGCGTGGTCCGTATCACTCACTCAAATCCCATTGCAGCACTCTTACCTCTCTCCTTTACGGCAGGTAAACCTCATCCTCGTTGGGCTGATGCCAATTTCCGAGACGGAGATCCATCTGAAAGATGGCATTCACGAGCTGCCAAGAACAACATGCAACTCAGACGGCGTGGTCGGTCTGACGACGTACTAGAGCGCGCCAACCTAGAACCCCGGGGCTTGGTTTCTGCCGCTGGTGCGCCCATCAAAATTGAACCCGTTACAGACATCTCCCAGCCCCATCTGTATCGCTTTACACCATCCCCTCCGGCTTCCTACTCCGCATTTCATTCAGATAACTCTTCATCGCCACCATTTGAGCGTCAAAACGGTCATCATTACAGCAACAGCTTGCCTAGTAATGGGCGCTCCATGCCGTACTCATCCCCCACATCCAATCAGAACATGACGTATAGCCATCACCATACCGACTCCTCGTTTCAAGAAAACGGTCACGTCTATCCGATGAACTCCGCCGAACAAGATAAAGTTTTTGGCAATCATTTCTCTGACTCCCCCGTCTCGCATTCTTTTTGCTCGTGCCGAACAAACCCTGCCACCGGTCATGCCCTCATATCTCTGAGTCATCAACTACAAAGTACACTGAACTCCTTAAGGCAGTATGCTCAGCATCCCGAGAACACCCAGTGCCAGCTGTTCAGGCGCATCATTGAATTGCATGATATCATGCGGTGTGTTGTCCCTGCCTTGCCTCGCGGCGACCTCGTGTTCATATTAACTAATTTGTTTGTGGTGAGAACTAGTGGTAATGATCCGGATGAGGCATCGGGATCACCATATGGAACCCTTCCCACACCTACCGAAAGCGATATTTTGTCGTCGCATTCGTCCTCAAGTACCCCGTTCCACGGATCCTCATCAGCTTCTGTATCAGAGTGGAATGCCATGGCTTCTTCGAGATATAATCCATACTTCCCCGTTTCCCCAACTGAACAGGGTTTGTATAGTAATATCATCACATGAGCGGGCATCCGCTCCATCGTGAGCCACTCTTACCAGCCCCTTTCAAATATATTTACTTCGTCGTGCTGGCTATGACGATGCTATGATGATGCCTTCAGTCTCTTGTGCCTTAGAGTAGTAAAAAAACTACAGCACTTGTATATTACATGCCCTGTACTATCATCATACAACGTGCGGCGAACTACATAGACATCATTAATGAACCGGCTCCAATACAAAACGGAATTCACGCTGCGAGGAATGATCTGACAGTACAGGCTTGGCATCAACGACCTTCCATCTATCTCTTTCGATAAACAATACTTCCCCGGTTCTTTTCACAAGTATCACCGTCGAAAGACGCGTTCCATAGAATTCTTGCGACCCTTGCATTATAAATGGTTCCACCTGGACTGTATTCCTCAACTCTGAGCGTGCGCTTGGCAGCTGCGAAGGCTTCCAACTGGGAAATTTGACCAAAGTAAGTGCGGAAGGGCTAGACTTGTCGCGTGCTTATACCCACGTCAATAGCTCAAACAGATTGTCGGCTAGTTCCTTCTCCGGGGTGGTCGGCGAGACCGCCTTGATGATTGATTTGAACAAATGAAGCCCGTGTTGGACTTTTGGCCACAATTCAGCACCTTTACCATCAATTCCGTTTGACAACCCTCCACATCTTCTCTCGGCATCAGTCAGCGAACGGACAACGAGCGTTCCTCCTCCGCCATGGTTGGTGACATACGTTCCATCGAACGTCAAGGCGTGTTCACCACGGGTAGATGGTGTCAAGAGTAATAAATTAAAGCCTGCATATTTAGCATCGGGAGGGATAAGATTGTGTACGTCCTCTTCTGAATCGGACGAAAGAAAATTGGCAACGAGGTCGCCCCTGGAAGAACCATACGTCTTGTACTCTTCTGTGATGTTCGTTCTGTGAGAAAAAATGTTGTCAGGGGCGTGCAACCTGGTGAAGCGGGAACGGACAAAAAGGCAAGTCTTCCGGACCGATTGACACCCAACCAGGTTCCACCGGCACGAACGTCAATGCCAGAGAGAATATTTCCCTCTGGAAGGCTATGCTCCTTTGGCTTATCGAATGAATGAAAGCGAGCGAATTCGGTGGGTCGTTCGAGGTATTCGTCACGGTTACTGCAAAGCACACTTAATTTGCCGCGTAGTCATTGTCGTGTCATGATAACGTATAAGATAGAAGGGCGGGACGTACAGGGCATATTCCGGGTGCTCGAGCGTGTAAAAACCAACGCACATCTTGATGGTTAGTTATTTCAGGCGCAAATCAAGAGATCAGAAATAAGGTGCAATGTCGCATGACTGCGATTATCGCTTCAGCATCAAAAATGGGTTCGCAGCGCGTTACTCGCAGATATTAAATGATGTTATGAGCTAGGTTTACGATGGACCCTGTGAACGATGTGTCACGTAGGGAAAGTCGATACTGACTTTGAACGTCGGCTGTTCCCACTGGTGATGATTCGGGCGTTCCTCAGCTTGAGAATTTGGCAGAGAGAATGCGCAAAGTGACGAGATCGATGAAGAATAATGGTGATTCTCACGGAGGTCTCTTCAGCGAGAGCTCGTACCGTTCTCACGTGCACATAACGTCCACGCGGGCCCAAAAAGTTTTGATCGCCGTTGGCCCCTACGGTACACCTTGACGGCTCGAGTCGCAGGATCTTTCACCCCGCCGTGAAACTTATGCAGCCTCAGATCACGGTCATATTGGATAATGGTGCCTCTTCAATCAAGGCTGGTTTAGCCAGAGGACCTGAGGGAGATGATGACGACCAGCCCAAGTAAGAGTGCCTGCTTTTGAGAACGACCTGACGCTAGAGGAAACTCAAGATTGATCTCGAATGCCATCGTGCGCTCAAAAGGTGATAAAACAACGTATTTTGGTCATCAGTTGGAACGATGTCGGGATTATTCTGCTCTTCATTACCGTCTGCCTTTTGAAAAGGTTCGTGATCAAAATGTCATTCTTCTATACAAATTTGTCATTATCTGTGGAAGCACTGCAGGGTTATCTGGTGGACTGGGATGCACAAAAAGCTGTTTGGGACGGCGTATTCTCGTCCGAGGTTCTGAACGTGCGTACTTCTGGTTCTGGTTGGATGACACGCTGACTAGGCACCTAGGTGGACACCGCCGAGTCATCATTGCTCATTACAGAACCGTACTTCAATCTGCCAAATATTCAAGATGTTTACGATCAGTTTGTCTTTGAGGAATACGAGTTTTATTCTTATCACAGATGTACACGTAAGTGACATCGTTCCGACCCTCTTCGCATCACTCAGCTTTTTTATTATCATCATAAGCGGCTGCAACGATCCCCTTTGGCCATCTTTTTCAAGCGGGCGGGCCATCGCCACCCGAGTGCCTTGTTGTTATCGATTCGGGGTTCAGCTTCACGCATGTAGTACCTATCATCAACAATCAAATACAATGGTATGCCGTGAAGAGGTGAGTTATATAAATCGACTAGAAGATTACCGCTTATATGGTTAGGCTCGATGTAGGCGGCAAGTTACTAACTAACCAACTGAAAGAACTTGTCTCATATCGCCAGTGGAATATGATGGATGAAACTTACATCATGAATCACGCCAAGGAGACATGTTGTTATGTGTCCACAGGATTCTTCGAAGACCTGGAGACCTGTCGGTAAGATCATGTCCGTTTGGCGATAGCGCAATTACCTAACCCCTGAAAGCTCGAATCCTAAAAAGAATAGCATAGTTCGGGAATATGTACTGCCAAATTTCTCAATCAATAGGCCTGGCCGCATCAGACTTCCCAACGAGGAGTTATCGACCACTGACCAAGTTCTTCACATGGAAAACGAGCGATTTACAATTCCCGAGCTGTTGTTCCGTCCCGATGACATCGGTCTGTTTCAGTTACTCATACACTGCACGGCCATATGAAGTACATCCATCTAGGCTTAGAACAGTCAGGGCTGGCAGCAACCGTGGCTGCGTCTATCGCGCTCCTTCCGCATGACCTTCGGGGCATGTTTTGGGCAAATATTGGTTTGATCGGTGGTAGTACCAACTTCCCAGGATTTTACGAGCGACTGTAAGGTTTTTTTATGTCATGTCATATCAAATAATCACTGCCCGCAGATCATCCGAACTGTTGTCACTTACCCCGGTCGAATATGATCTGCAGATATACCGGTCAGAAGAGTACGTCCAACATTCCCTGAGCATTGCTATACCCAATGTGACAAAATATTAGTGCTATAACCGAAGCTTATCGCTCCGCAATTGCTTTTGTGAATGATCCTGCATTCTCAGCGCACGTTGTTACAAGGGAGGAGTATCTTGAAGTCGGCAGCAATGCCTCGCGAAGGAAATTTCCAGGGTGGCAATCATCATCTGCACCTGGGGACGCAGATATTAGCAAGATCACGCAGGAATCAATGATCGAAGATCGAGGCCAGCCCAGCCGCAAGCCTAACCGTTCACGAATGCGCACGACCACCGCACCAGGCCGACGCAGATAGTGGCATGCACACGTTCGGTATTTGCGGATCAACTACGATTAGATGCTATACATTTACACTTAAGCCTTAGCACCTCCGTCACCCTTTACTAATGTCAACTTTTTATAACTCGTGATTTGCGTATCAAACTTAGTACATGTAGCACATGATCTCCAACCGCCGGTTCAAACTATTACTCGTCAAGAGCACTGGATTCGTGATCTCTTGGCGTGCGTCCCGCGATGATACTAAAAATTATCGTTTAGTCAGAACCAGGAACTGATCAATGTCATGGCTAAATGAGTCACCTTTCAAGAGAGTCGATATCTCCTACGAAACTCAAAGGTTCCTTTATGCCCGGATGGTTCCTAATGTCGAACCAAATCTCGGCCGGAAAAGCGAAAGTTGTCACCAAAAGCCTTCCCAGTGTGGCTTTGGCTTCATCGTCCAATATCGTATGGAGAGATTCCAATCGGCTATAATCCTGTCCTGCCTTATTCTCGAAGAGCTCAAGATCTTCGTTACGAAGCTCGAATACCAGCGCCGACGGGTTCGTCTGGCGGATGCAAAGGCGAACCCCGAATGTCGTCCACTGCCTGTGGTCAATCCAGGGGAACAAGATGCTGGTGTGGAGCGCAGAGCTGTCCACCGGTTCGGTGCTGCTGACAGGAAAAATGGGGATGCAGTGGTTTGCAACCTCTGAGGGCTGTGGCGTATCTTTGGATACAAAGTGAACGATCACTTCTTCGACCGTGGTGTCGTCGTCTTCATTCCATCTCACGAACGCCGAGGTTACAAGCCCGAGATACCGCCCAGGGGTATACTGGCAGATTTTGCGGTATACCTCGGAGTCCTCTGGATATTCTTGCGCGAGCTCTGCTGTTGACAACGCAAATACGATGAACGTCCCTGGGCGTATTTTTGCGCTTGTTCGGTTTTGTGGAGGCGTCAAGATGTCAAAAGAGGATGTGAGTGCATCTGCTGATTGGCTTTCTGTGATGCTGTACCGCCGCTCGGTGTCAAAATCCTCAAACATCCTGTAGACATCTGCGCTAGATGGTATCCAGTAGTTGCTCGAAGGAGACGGTGGCGATAGAGATTGGAGGCGTGACATGTTGATAGATAGATGCTGACGGTTAGTCTGGTACGCTGTCAGTGCCGCCGCTCTAGCTTATATAGGTTTCAGAGGGTGGAAGACAGGCTGTGGCACGAACAACGCTTCCACCGATGTGGTGGCCCAAGCGCTGTGGCAAGATCTGAACAATAGCGCGAATGCCTAATGATATTCTGTCAGCATGTTCCACTTTTTAATTGACCTTTTGTTTGTTGATCAAGGACCACAGGTGATTGATGAACACCTCTGCACCGTACAAGCGTCTTGACACTTGAGTGCCACAGAAGTTCGGATCAGTCTACTTAGAGTGTTTCACATGCTCGTTCCCAAGTTTGTGGACACCCACGAACCTAGGCGTACGCTTGCCGATTGTAAAGTGACGTTCCTCCAATCCGCACCGTTCTAGATGACCGTGGTGTATTATTGCTCCTGTCGGGGGGTGTGCTATTCCATTCCCTTGCAGCTTTGTAATATCCAGTCGCAGACATCTCGGCTCACATACCAAGGAAATGAAATCAATACCTTTCCCTCGTGTCGAACGCGCGTGATCATTATCGCAGATCATGGTCTCGGCCCCCCTATTTCGTCACGGTGTTCATCGATGTCTTCCCGGATTCACTAGATCACGGTAGATCTGCGCCCATTAAACACCACGGGGACCGCTGACAATTTCAATTACGTGGAACATCTGGTGTTCGAAGAAGATATGAAATATCATGCCTTCATGTCCAGTAACGAGGTACCATGATGTCATTGACGCTCGACTGGTGTGCCGAACTACAGTTATGTTTTTTGGGGATCAGATCGATCAACGTCCTTCTTCCAATTCGAATTTCGATTGGTGCGATCTAGCCGTTAATGTTTATCGGAAACTTTGTGACCACCGATCGATGTCGTGGTACACATTGTACTTGTCACGTTCCTCATGTCATCAGCGTTCCTCCATCAACTTGATAACTCGCCAGTTCATGCTCGGACCTATAAAGAAAGGGACGTTGCCCCCTTCCAACAAAGACACGACATGAAATATCTGCGATTCCATTCTGTATGAACAATCACCGCCCACCGTCAAAAGTATCAACGTTCCAGCAGTCCGTTTAGCATCTTTCTATTATTGCATGTGTACCTATTGCTTTGGTCTAGTCTTTGATCGAACATAGATAGCATTTTTGAAATGTCCGTGAGACAGCTCATCAGTTTTCTAGGAAGATTTTCATCTGTTAAGATGCATTATTGAGCCATACTATCGGACGCACCGCTTGCAGTGATACCCCCATCTACTTTTGTTTCAAAACTTCCGTTTTACTAATGTGTCCTCTTAGGGATGACAACAAAATTTACGTATACCGTTCAATTGATTCGGCTGAGTATCATCTTGGGGTTGCGCCCCATGCAGACGTAATTCTATGGGCGCTGTTGTGCTTGTGTGAGTAGTGAGAACGAGTAAAAATGTATGCTTGATTGCAAGCAACTATTTTCGGGAAGAAGCCCCGCAGGGGTAACCTTGCCCGGTATTGGCCCCGACCTGTGCAAAGTGAGCCGAGGCGAGTTGCGATTCCCACATCAGCAGGAGCGAATGCTACGCAGCGAAATGAACCTCGGACCCCCAAATCGTAGGAGCCGTAAAGTGACGCATCGAGGTGAGGCTAGATGAGGAGACGGCGAGTAACAACAGTAGTAAGAAGGCATCCGCGTGAGCATCGGAGCACAAGTGAGGGCATCTGTCAGTGCGGGCATCTGCATCAATGCAAGCGTCCATGTTCGCGAAAGCGCGGGAATCCACATGAGCACAGCAGTAGGTGTTAGCAAGAATGATACTCTCCACTGGCGCAAGGTGTCATGGTAACTGAGTGGAACTCATCAGGTTGAGACCTGACGAGGGTTCACAACGGTGAACTTCTTACACGAGTAAGCTTGAGAGAGCAGTGCTATAGCACCTCTAAGTGCTCTCTACTCATGGCCGGCTTCCCCGCCGGACTCGCCTTCATTGCATGCAGATGTACAACATCCCCTCTTCCGGTCCCTAGGATGAAGAGTCCCATTCCGAATATTTGGGCGATTGACTTGGCAAGACAGACTTGGATGATGATGGAGATCCCGAGGGCTGAGGTTGGCTGCGGGAAAGGCACTTCCGCATCACTAACATAGTATTGTATCTTACAAGGTGGTTCCCGGACCTCAAGGCAGAGGTAAGTTGAGGATCTTGTCGAAGAGAAACAAAGAGTTTGTGGATTCATGGTGCTCGATGCTTCGGACCAGAGGATGGTTGATATTTTACAAGCCGCGATTTTATTGGATGCCTTGTGGGCCCGGTGATTGATACGGTGCAGAGCTGTAGCGCTGACCGCTGATTAGTCTGATCAACAAGAACTTGTAAGTGGCACTTTTATTCGTCCGTGGCATTGAAGTTTGAAGTGAGCAACCGTGAGAAAACGAACACTTCGCGCACCACGATCAGCGCCTGTATGTACTATATAGCTATATACTGAATATGAATATTGATATAGATAGCCCTATGACGATCATAGAACCGTCCTGCAGCCTATCATGTATTCTCTTACACTCAACACCTTGCATTGGTTATACCGTTACAGTAATCCTGAGCAAGCAGCCGCCTATCGGAAGTTCTTTCTTTGTCCTGATGATCGTCTTCCCACTGATTCTTGGCAGGTTCTGGCCGTGGTATTTCACCTGGCAAAATTCAAACTAATTTCTCCAAAATTAATTGGCAACACGGCAGCATTTTGCAAACAACTTCAAGTTGAACGCTTGCGACATACGTCGTTGGTAGACGGTCTGGTAGCAAAGCGTCATGACAGGTACGTTCTCGCTTGGTCATTGCTTTTTAGCACCAATCCTTGAGTGCACTGGCAGTGGATTACCGCATAGATCTATACAAAGTGTATCTTAAATTCATGTTCTTCATCGAGCTACGTCAAGTTCTCATGTGGGTCACCAGCCTTGTTCAAATTAAGTCGTTCCTGCAGTTGTAGATTCCTGTTATGGCTCTCCACCAAGGAAGAAAACATAGCATCAGTACTGAAGAGGTGACGGCAGGTTGGGGTCTAGTGTACCTAATATAGCAGCACAAAGTAATGTACCTCGCGCCAGCAATCAAATACCAGCTCGGTAGTTAGGTTTTGGCAAATTCTAAGGAGACTTTATAACAATGAGTAAGCATGAAATACTGAGTAGTGCCCGTGATAATTTCAACGGAAAACACTGAAACTTACAAAAAGGTCATGCCAGCCGTCACATCTAGGCAGCTTTGGCGACATCACCGTCGTCGTCGTCGCCATCGCCCCTCTTTGCAGCTTTGGCGACATCACCGTCGTCGTCGTCGCCATCGCCCCTCTTTGCAGCCTTGGCGACATCACCGTCGTCGTCGTCGCCATCGCCCCTCTTTGCAGCTTTGGCGACATCACCGTCGTCGTCGTCGCCATCGCCCCTCTTTGCAGCCTTGGCGACATCACCGTCGTCGTCGTCGCCATCGCCCCTCTTTGCAGCTTTGGCGACATCACCGTCGTCGTCGTCGCCATCGCCCCTCTTTGCAGCCTTGGCGACATCACCGTCGTCGTCGTCGCCATCGCCCCTCTTTGCAGCTTTGGCGACATCACCGTCGTCGTCGTCGCCATCGCCCCTCTTTGCAGCTTTGGCGACATCACCGTCGTCGTCGTCGCCGTCGCCCCTCTTTGCAGCCACGGCGACATCACCGTCGTCCGGATCCCCCCTCTTAGCAGCCTTGGCGACATCACCGTCGTCCGGGTCCCCCCTCTTGGCGTATTCTGACTCTGGCTCGCGCTTCTTTGCTGCAAAAGGGTTGATCTATAAACGAGTAAATGGCGGATGAGTGTGTCCCACCTCCAGTACCGCCGCCGCCATAGCTAGAATATCCCACGGGGTTGGTCTCGAGCTTTACTGCAAAAGGGTTGATCTATAGATGAGTAGATTGCAGATGAGTGTGTGTCCCACATTCAGGAACGTCTCCAACGAGATTGGTCTCGAGGGCCCCTCGCTTGGCTGAGTGATACATTGTGGCATCTGAGTGGATATGATAATGCTGATGATCATGAATACTCACCATATCGTCTCACCGGCGTGGGTGACGCCACAGCGAGGATGGCGAGAGGTATAAGCGCAATAAAGCGTGCAGAGAGTCGCATCTTCAGGGATAGTAAGAGAAGTGACTACTTTGTCGATGCACCACTGAAAATCCAAGAGGGTTTTTATGCAGCTTAGCAGGTCCGCTCGGCCTCTTCCATGAACAATTGCGACCTTCGGTCAGATTTTCGATATCTTCAAGATACGGTACGCCACGATACAGCGTGCGATATCTGGTATGGAACTAAGACCTGGCGACAAATAAAGAGTTCGATAAATCAGCTGTGACAAATTGCATGGTAACTGCTCAACGATTGATACGAGTGAGTCCTACACAAAAGCTTCATCGTTATGATTTACGGTACATTCATAGTTAGCCAGCGTTTGATGGCGTGCTAGGATCTTCCACGTTAATTACGCATGAATTAAAATTAAAATGACCAACATTATCGAGCCTATCATTTCAAAGATCGTACTTTCCTTTGCCCTTATTTTCGAATGACAATTGAATTGTCATTGAAAAGTTCCCTGACGTTAAGCAAGTGAAATTGTGAAGTGCTTTCTGTACCAGAGCGCGACAGTTTAAGGCGTGGCCTGTACGCGAGATCTGTCGATCTGCTCGTGGTTCACTGGAGCTGAGCAGGACCATAAGAAATCACGTACATCAAGACCTAGTAAGATGTTAGAATCCACATACTATAAAAGTCAGAAAGCGTACTTTGGTTTCACTTTATGAAGAACCAGCCTTTCATCTCTACCCTGAGAATCATCGCACGCTGCTGTGAGAATCTGCTCTGGTATCACCCAATGCGAGAGTATCCCGTCCCGTTATAGCTGCCGAGTACTCTGCGACCGTCCTGATAGGATAATTGCATTGCAGAACGACCGCCGCGCGAGAACGCCACCACATCGGAGGGCTGATATCGAGCAGCTTTTGTGCCTTCCACAGGTGGTGTAGTCCCTGGATACCAATGCTAGCAGGGCGCAAACTGGGTCCAAAATAAATTTGGTCTGGACATCACCAGCCTGTTTCTACGTGGAGATATCCCAAGAGCAGAAGACGTGACTGATACCTGCCGAGGAGTGCGCAGAGATAGGCATTGTCGATTCGGAGGTCGATCATGATATGAGCGATGAGTTTCATTCAACTATAGTCTCCCCTAATCAGACCATATAGAAGGTAGCCGTTCTTCTTAGCTCTTATCCAATCAAGCTGAAAGTTGGTGTGGCCACTGGCCATTTAAACGAGCAAGGCGCTTGGGGGCCGTTTGGTCCCATATTTGAATATCTTTATCAGTAGCATTGATGCCGAATTGACCAGTTGGAGGAATTCGGACGCAAGGCGCACACGAGAGATGATCGCCTTTCCTCTGGCGCTAGTGTCCCATAATATGATTGTACGATTCTATGACCCACTGATCAGGACTCGGATGTCACCATCAGCGGAATCATCCAATTCATCCACAACGTCGGTGTGAGACGACCTAAAGGACTTGCGACGACCATTCCACTCTTAGCATCGCATACCAAAAACGCTCTCGCCAGCATTGACTGCCAGCATGTTGGAGTGGGCTATGTTGATTCTCAAACGAATGCTGCTCGAGAAAGGATGGATAGTCATGGATTCAATTCTAACATGGCACGTGGCTCTGACCTCTACCGGCAAACTCCGCACCACCCTGGGCCTAGGCTAGCCGCTACTCCAATTAACTTATACGAGCTCACGCCCGTTGTGCCTTCGGCACAAATCGAAGGAGCGCGTAGCGCTCCTTCAGGGGAGGAAAATGAGTGTTGTTCCTTCATCACAGGAAGCCAAGGAGGGCTACGCCCCTCCTTTGGCTTCCTGGCCTCAGGCTGCATCCTAATAAATTGTGCATTTTGAATTATTTTGAAATATATTTATGAGCAGCTTTCCAAAAAAACTCAAAGTACAATCTATCACACCACATAAAAGTATATAGTACATAAGATCAGTCAGTGCCATGTTCTTTGAGCAGGATTTTGACCAATGTAAAAATACACTCTACTACACAACATAAAATTACAAAATATGTAACAGTATCATTGAATGTATTTATTTTCTCATTTTTCCCTGCCTCCCATCTAGGGATCAGCAGGGGTATGGGAAACCCTTGAGGGTAGGGGTAGGGGTTTGGATCTGAAGACCCCTGTACCCCTGGGAATATATGCCCAAATTGATTACCATAGGAGGGATGGATAAGTATAAAATTTTGAAGTTGTACATTTGCCTTCAAATGGTAATATATGTGATTGGAAAAAGTGTTACCCTGGGGTATACCCATGCTAATCCCGTCTCCCGTCTCCCGTCTCCCGTCTCCCGTCTCCCGTCTCCCGTCTCCCGTCTCCCGTCTCCCGTCTCCCGTCTCCCGTCTCCCGTCTCCCGTCTCCCGTCTCCCGTCTCCCGTCTCCCGTCTCCCGTCTCCCGTCTCCCGTCTCCCGTCTCCCGTCTCCCGTCTCCCGTCTCCCGTCTCCCGTCTCCCGTCTCCCGTCTCCCGTCTCCCGTCTCCCGTCTCCCGTCTCCCATCTCCTCCCATCTCCCGTCCTCTGGTTTTCTGGTTCTCCCAGTTTCCTGTTTTTGAGTCTCTAAGTGATCTTTTCCTCCCTTTTTTATTTTTATTTTTTCATAATCTTCTGTCATTCATCTCCCAATCTCTTTTATCTCATATTTGTTTTCCCCCTGTCTGCAATTGTATTGTATGTTGTTCCATTATTTGCTGTATGTATACAAATACTACCATGACAATTACAGTAGAGAAAAAACTCAAATCTAATCACATATCTGCCGCTCAAACACATCTTTTTTCATTATTTAATGCCATGTACATATACAGTTACCAAGGTCGTGCTAAGTTCCCAAAGGGCAACACTATTTGAGCCGGTGCTCGAGAACATGTGACAAAACCACGCGAGATTTCCAAAAAGAGGTTTAAGCGAGGTAAGCGACGCAAGCGAATCTAAGCGCATCTAAGCATATCTATGCGAAAGCCACGCGAGCGCACGACACCTCCTGAAACCATCGTACTTTACTTCTTAGATGGATGCTGCCAGCTAACAACCCCCGTACCTGGCGCCAGTAATGTCCGCCCTTTGAGCTCGGCATGCACAACAGCGAGCTCGATGGTCTTACTCGTTTCTAGGTAATTTTGCAGCACATTTTTTGTACTATAGAGGGCACATCAGCAAATTAGTGAAACCTTGTACAGATTTGTACAAACAGCACAATCCCACAGCTAAGTGCCTTCTTTACAATCCTGTCACAAAGCCTTACAATCCATACACAAAGGCACAATATTGACAGACTGGACAGACTAGACAATGTAGACAAACCAGACAGTGTAGACAAACCAGACAGTGTGGACAAACTGGACATTGCAGGCAGACTAGATTATTGTAGACAGATCAAACATGCTGTGCAAACGACATTGTAATGGCTCATAAGATCTACTAAATGATGATATTGATATCCTCGCTGTCTGCTGCACTGTCCGAGTCATTGCAAAGTTCACCTATCATCCCCTCCTTGGCCCATTCCCTCAGCATCTCTTCAAGTTCCACACGACGTTTGGGAATGTCCATCAATTTGTCGATGGACTTTCACAGTATGTTGAAGTCAGCCCTGCACGTATCAGCAGTAAGGTCAGGCACCTTGTCAGTACCACTGTTGTGGAAGCTGGAGAGAACATTCTTCGCCTGTTAAGCATTGATTAGTGAGGAATATAAAAATTGATTAAGGCAAAGCCTACAACTGTGGCCACCAGAATAAGGCCATTGACAGGAATTTGGTGCTGACATTCGTCAGTTAGCTTGAGCGCTTTTTTACCATTGCCATAGTAAAAACTGAGGCAGGCTTCCTTGAGAACCTGTGACACAAAATTGGTATATTTTCCCTGTAAATGTCAATAATGAATTGTCGCACACCACGAGGTTGCCACCGAGCTCAGAAGAGTCAGAAAGCTGAAGATATTCACCAGTCTTAAGGAGCTTAGCTGCTGCTGCACTGACGTGCTCCTTGTACATTGAGTTGCCCTTCAAAAATATGCTGTATAATTGCTTCACAATAGATATCACGATTTTTTTGAGTTCCATACAAAAGGTGAACAGGTCATCACAGAGCTGTTGGCTCATCAGCAAAGTTCATATTCAAGCTCGGTACTTACTAGTCACAACATCAGCACTTTATACTCTGGAAAATAACCTTTACAAGGACATCAAATTGGAGCGATGTCTGATGGTGCAGGGCAACTTACCTTTGTCAATCTTCACCTTCTTTGTGTGGTATGTCCATAATACAGCACCCAAAACTTCTTGTGCCAGTACTACAGCATCCTGATGAACTGGAAGAGGATGCAATAAAACTGCCTGCAACCACATTTCCAACTTTGCTGCCTGCAGGAAAGCTTGCCAAGATGCTGGATAGAAGCCGAGCTTTGAGGGGTTACCTTGTTGGTTGGCGCACCATGCACCGTTTCCAGATTTGCTGCATTGAACAGGTGAGGCACTACAAGAGTGAGATCGGCTTGAACTAGGAGCGGAAGAAGGTGTCTGATCTGGCTGAGCAGAATCCTTGGGCAGAGACTGTGACAAAGACTGTTGATGAGAGGAGGGCAGTTTGTGACTGGAAGAAACTGTAGACTGAGTTGGAGAGCACCAATGAGGAGACAGTTTGCGGAAGGAGGAAGAACAAGGTAAGCATTGAGGGGACTTTGAACGAGTAACAGAGAGGTGTGCAGGTGGACGCTCTGGCTGCACATGGGTCGATGTGGTTTTTTCAGATCATGCTCTGTGAGGCGTGCATCCAAGGACCAAGCACCTGGAAGAGGAAGAAGTGCATGCTCATTTGAGGGAGGGGCGACGAGATCCCTAATGCAACAAATTAAAACAACAGACCTGAAGTCACAAGAACTTACCTGACTGGGTGAATGCTGATGAGACTTTGAGCCAGCTTCACACGTGGACGGGTGGACCTGTGTTTGCGAGAAGACTGGGGCACATATCAGTAATTGTGCATGATCAGCAAAATGAAATACGTGCACATGTTAAATGAGTCGGGGAGGGAGCTTTGCATTGTCCATTTTTCATTTGATGGCATTCAAGGACATCAAAAGTGTCTGTGGCTTCATGATGAGTATCATCATCCGAGACCTGGCTGTCAGAATCCCCCTGGTTGGGATCCATGTGAGTATCACCGTCTTCATCATCTTCATCACTGTATAAGGCCATGCAGTTGACTGGAGCCTTTGAGTGGATAAGGAGGAATAAAAACATGAGGAAAAGATACAAGGTATGACTTACTCCTGCGTATCCCGCAACTAGTGCTGCCGCGGTCCGGTTCAGAGGCAGTTTGACGAGAACCAAGAACTGGACCAAGGTCTGGTTCTACCTTTATCGATGAACCTTAAACCGAACCTTTGTGAATGGTTTGCAGTGGTCAGGTTTGGTTTTTTTTCCGGTTCAAACGTGAACCGGACCCAAAATTTTTTGCAGCTAGTGAAAAAAACAATTGAAGTAGTTGTACTGATAGCTACATACTACATATCCAATGAAGCTGCATGTCCCTCAGCCTCTGCTGCAGCAGAAAGGTGCCTATTCCTATACGCTCCCTTTAACAGTTGCAATGTGCTGAATGTGGAGGTTGCAAGTGCATTGCATCACACAGTCAAAGTGATTCCTCCACTTGAGAATGCTTGTTCGGATGGAACAGCACTGCCTTGAATGGGTAAGCAGTCTCGTGTGATGCATTGTAGAGACTAATATATCTGTGGGCTTGTAGGGATCTAAATTCCAAATGTCCCTACCACTTCCTAATATAGCGCAACCCATATCTCACCCAGCGCGCTCAAGCACTTTGTCGGCTGCTCGCACATACTAGTGCTCCGGTTGCCCATCAGTCGTGTGTCAGCGTGCGCATCCTCGGTTCCGTCGCTCGTCCTCTGTCCATCCATTCCATGTCCGTTCGGTTCATCGGTGCATATTCCTGACTTATTTCCATTTATTCTGACATATCTCCGGCGCTTATGGCCATATTCTGTATGTTTTCCATCATGGACCCTTAGATTACATATTATTCTGTATCCACTTCGCTTCTTGGTTCGCTTTAGTGCCTGACAGCACTTATCATTACTTAGTATATATACACACACCTAACCTGGATAATGACAATATTTTCTGCCCACACATCATTGGACTATAAGTCTAAGTTCTCCCTCTAAATCTAAAGTATCTAAGTACAATACGAGTGCCGCCACCATACATTACTAGAGACTCTGCCAATTTGTTTTTCTGACTCATTAAGAGTCGCTGTGCTCTACCACCCGCACGTGCGCACTGCTACCACTTAGCACGCACTTCCATTATAAGTCATGCGCCGCCGCTTATCATTGGCCATTGTCGCTCATCAGCGCTTCACATCGCCTTCACTCACTCACACTTCGCTCATCGTTGCACGCCTTACCAGGCTTGACTAAGCACCCAGTCCAGTATTTCCCTCCATATTATACACTTAGAGGAACCTTCTCAGTAGCAATCCCCTTGAGCCGACATATATCTTGCTCATTGAGGACTACTTGAATTGTCTCATACTACTCATATTACCCCACTTCCTATTCCTCTTCTACAGCATTGGACTGGGTGTCCCAAGGGCAAGAGTTGCACACCAAGGCCTCAGTTGGCCCTTTCCATAGCTTAGTCAGCATGTAGACTAGGTCTCGAGCATGTCGTCGCGTAGCTTCACCTCATTCCAGCTTGGTTTCCCTGTCTCTGGGCTGCAAGCCTCTCAGCCTGCTCTATTGTGGTGAACAGAGCGAGCTTCGGCTTGCCCTAGCATTGTGCTTTGCTTGTCATGTTGCACTTTCCAGCTCGTTTTTTCTTGGGTTCCATTGCAGTTGCAGTCTTGCCTTGATCCTTTGCATTAGTCTTTGCTCTTAGTCTTTCTTGTTTGCCTTGTTGGTCACTCGTCTCTACTAGTTCTTGCAGTCTCGCTCTCGCATTAACACCTCGTCAAAGTTTTTTCTTAACAGCCACGTGTCATGCAGGCTACAGAGCTTGCAGCAATGGCACAACATGCTATCGATGCATGCCCCAATCCCTCGGAATGAGATAAAGAGCTGAATCACATTGATTCTTGGCTTGAACTTGCTCGTATTGCTGAAGAAGAAGCAAGCCCACTTTCCAATAATCTTGTTACCCACCAGAAAATTTACCTCAAGCAGCAAGACTGGTTGTGGGACCATGAAGATTCCTCGCTGCCTCATAAACTTAAATATGCGGTTGATAATGCCATACACCATGAATTCTGGCAACAATCAAAGAACAGAGTCAAACGTCCCACTGCACCCAAACCAGTGCCACCTGAAGTCACCATGCCTACAACTGCACAGCTCCCAATCTCATCCCTCGCACCGGCATCCCACAAATGAAGCTGCAAAGAGACAACTGGAGGTATAGAGAAGCAGAAAGAATCTTTGGAGGGAGAGTTTCTGGTAATGGAGGCAAGAACTCAACTTGCCTTGCATCCACCACCACCTACGCATGTGCATGTTGGCACACAGACAGAGCATAATGTCTTCGAGGATATTTGATCTAAATCCCCACAATATGCAAAGCCTATCAACTGGGCAGACGAGGTTGATAGTATTATGTTCACGCCACGTCCAGCACCACGCGACTTTTCTATCCTGTGCTCCTCATCTAGCAACCCATGGTCTAGCTTACAAAAATGTCAATGCCGTTCATGCCAACATTATCATGGCAACCACATTCACAAACGTCCATTATCATCCCCACGCACTTGTTCTATATATCCTAAGTACATTGACTTCATGCCCTTCAATCCACATCCCTCTCCACCTTTACACTTCACTACATATCAGTTTCGCACACTTCCATTTAATTCTCATTCCTACATACAACCTTTTGCAACTTGCCAGCCTTTTCTCACACGGCCTCGCACCACACGTTGTTCCATTCAGACATGATGAGGGTGTCGCTGTTTTTTTTATGGGGGGTGCATGGACTGGTGTCCCAAGGGCAAGAGTTGCGCACCAAGGCCTCAGTCAGCTCTTTCCATAGCTTAGTCAGCATGTAGACTAGGTCTCGAGCATGTCGTCACATAGCTTCACCTCATTCCAGCTTGGTTTCCCTGTCTCTGGGCTGCGAGCCTCTCAGCCTGCTCCAGCGTGCAAGTGTAGGGTACTGTAGCAAGTGAAGCTAAGAGATGGTTAAGTAGTGAGAAAATGAGTCAAAAAATTTGCTTACCCCCCACCAGACAACAATGTCATTAGTGTACTCTAGCGCTGAAGACAAGTAAGCGGTGAGCTCTTGCCAGAGATTGTGAGTGAGATGGTCCCTCATCTGATGCATCTTGATAGCCTCACACATCCAATCATCACCATACTGTGTGTGTGTGGGTCTCATCAGCGGAGCAGATTGGTCATTAGTAGGACTTGGTGACATATAATAGTCATTGAACTGAAAATGAAATCAAAAGAAAGAACCAACAGTGTAGACAAGTACTTACCACAGCCTCCAAGCAAGCCCTGCCAGTCGCAACCTCTTGAGTGTGCCACCGACCTTCGATGTATGCAAGCTTATAGTTCGGATTGAGAACTTAAATTATATTAGATATGCACGAGTCATAGAAAAATAAATACTCACCAAGACAAATGAAATAAACATTAGATTCACTTGATTTCTTGAAGTACTTGTCGATGTTCTTGAGGCCCTGCTGAATTGCATCAGCGATTGGTGTATATTGCACATCAGCTGCCATAGATCTCCATCGATCGGCGAGGCACTCCAACGTAGGGATTGTGCACCATGCAGTTGGATGCTTTGCTGACGAGAATGATTGCTGAGCAGTTGCTGGTTCCTTGAGGACTTGATGAATGAGTGTAAGGTGTTTCCAATCAGCCCGGTCAAGCTTAAAGTCATTGTAAGACTTGTTGCGAAGAGTCGGCACTTCTTTGCTTTTGTCTGTGAGGTTCATAAAACAATTCACAGCCTATTTGAATATATACATCAGACCTTTTTCAAACATTGAAGGAAAAAAACTCATGTGACGTAAGATTAACATGTGATCCAGACATTTGTATAATGAAGCCCAGCGAGTTCTGACCCACTGCAACAACTCCAGTTGAGGGACATTCTCCTCCTGGCAGGCCTTTTGGAAAAATGCACGAGCTCGAGGTGACTTTTGGATCTGAACATCTTCATTATCAACAAGTATAGGCTAATGATGAGAGGACATACCTGCTCAATGAGTGCGAGAGCTTTACCAAGTGAATCACCAGCATTGAACGAGGTACCATCATTATTGTCATTATCAACCTCCATGGAAGCAAGCTCTTGAGTCAAAGTGTTGAGTTCAGCATCATTGCCATCATCAACTGCCTGACAGATCTTTCTCATGAGAGCTGCTTGCGGAGTGGGTGAAACTCCATCAACAAAGTGTTGAGCAGCGAGATTCAGAACATGTTCTTGGCACCTGATGTGACGTGCATCAGGTACCCATCGGGTACCATCGGGATTGATCTGACGTCCAACTTTTTTCATGGCAGTGTCATTGTTGGTGATGTTATTGGAGGTCATCCACCCAACCTATAACTACTAATCAGTTTCAGCGTGGATATGTAGACTAAACTTTATCTTATCTCGTAGTTTATATGTGTCAATGGCATCAACAATTAAGCGTGCAGTATTCTGCCACTATGATTGCCCTTGATGTGGTCAAAACTAAGTTGCTCACAGCGTAATTCCCATTGCTGGGGTTTGTCATCTAGGCTCTAGATATAATGACTGGTAATGCTGAAGAAAGGGTCACCAATGATAGAAGTCCAGGAGTTGAAAGTCATTGAGACCTGACTGTCCACCTTCGCAAGACGTTCACGAATGGCATCAACTACAGTTAGTGCATGGGCTTTGACACTCTTGGTAAGCTTAGTGCAGTGAGGGATATCACCTTCAACAAGGGCAGGGCGGACATAGGAGAGCAACCTGCGGAACACTGGTTTGTCGATGAGCTGTAAGGCCTCATCTTCAGTGACGATAAGCTCCATTATATACTTGAGCAGCCCAGCCTTGCTAAACATGGGTGGTTTTGGAATGAGGTTGCTGTTGAGGGTGGATTGCCTTGAACTATGTATGAATCAGCAACAATACAATATATGATGTGCGAGTGTAACTCACAGACATTGAGCTTCGCCAGTGGGAACTGCTCGAGGGTGCATTGTGATGCCTGCAGCTTCACAGTGCGTCTTGTACAGTTGGAAATGATTTTTTTGACTATAGATATCTGTAATCATTCATTTGAGAGACTGAAGAGATGAACATACCAACAAATATGAGTGCGTAGTGTGGAGATACCATCCCAAAAGGTGTACTTGCTTTCGGGTTCACTGGCATCCCTAGGAAACATTAGCAAGTACCACACATGTAGAGCTAAATACGTACTTGCATGGTTTGCATACCCACTCTTTGTCATGGCAAGTGAAGATAGTGTGAACATCAGCACTACACTCACTCTTTGACAGCATGTTTCGGGTGATTGCATCTTCAGGCTCCTCTTCATCTTCAGGTTGGTCTTTAGCAGGTGCATCATTAGTATTGGTATCACAATCTGTGTCAGCACCAGGGACATGAGAGTCGTCATTGTCAGATAATGGAGCTGTGAGTTGTAACACGACCTTTTTTGTGACTAGTGGCTCTGTAGTAGTACTGGATAAGGCACGTGCACATTTGTGGCTTGTTGATGGGCTGGAGGCTTGGTGAGAACAGGCGTTATCAGCATCACGGAGGTGGGCAGAGGGCTTAGAGGTGCAAATTGAGCATTGAGCACCCACAGTCAGTGGTGCTGGTTTGCATCCAGCCCTCAGTAACACTGAGAAGGCATCTGTGGGGGCAGACTTGGAAGAGGATTGAGCGCAAAGTGGGATGGTGTCGTCAGGATCATTGTAAAACACAATATCCCTGGCATCCTTAAGAGAACCGTCAGCGTTGAGAGCACACACATCAGATTCCAACATTGTGTGAGAGGAAATATGACTCACCTGGTGGGGATTGCTCTTTTTATTTGAGGACAGAACAAACAGCCAGTCTCTGCCATGTGCATTGGAGAATCCTGGAAAATATATCAAAGTTATATATTAGTTAGTTTATTAGCTTGATTGATGGTTAATTTGTACCTTGAGCTTGATTGGACAGCCAGGAGCACAGATTGGACAACTGGGAGCACAAAATGCAAATGTCCGGACAGAATTAGAAGTTCATGCAGATGTCGAGGATCCCAGAAGTCAAAGTACCCATGAGTGTGGAAGGGAAGTCACTCATTGATATCGACAAAGTTTTGGTTCGGGAAGGTCCAAACCCATGACCGAACCGTCCCAGGAACAGCGAACTGTGAACCTCATTTCAGCTTGGTCTGGCCAAAATGGAGAACCATGGACTGAACCATGGACAAACCTGACCATTGGTCAGGTTCAAACCACGGTTTGGAACCAGACCACGGCAGCACTACCCGCAACAAACTATCTTCATCTTCACTGGGTTGATCATTGTGATCTTGCTCATCGGCATCATTCTCTGACTCGTCACGTTCATCCAAATCCCACATTCTATCCTTCTTCGCCTCACATTCTAAGGATTTGCCTACGGCCTTCTTAGAGCTGCAACCAATGGGCTGAGTTTCCTCTCGGGGATCCTGTTTGTCAGCGGAAGATGACTTAAATCCAAACCTATCATAAGGGCCAGCCACGCATAGGAACAGCTGACGATGTTGAGTGTTTGATTGTGAGCCGTTGTCTTCAACAGGGTGAGGCAGCAAATTTGTGCCAGCCTAAAAGAATGTTAGCTGTAGTGCTGCCATGGTCCGGTCCAGAACTGTGGTTCAAACCTGACCAATGGTCTGGTTCTAGACAGTCCGGTCCACCGCAACACCATTGAACCTAACCGAACTGAAGTATGGTTCTTGGTCTGTGTTGTCTGGGATGGTTCTTCATCGATTCTGAACCTCATGTTGTTAGTATCTTTTCGGATGCGAAGACAAGTTCTGCTGTTCGCCTTACTAATGCTAAATACAGCAAGTTTCAATTGCAACTTGGTAATATTTTTTGTTATTATTCTACAATGACTGAATTTAACTCATCTGCATGTCGTGCAGATGGGAACCTCAAGGATGCATCTGAGATCACATTCTACCATGATGCTGACAATGACATCCCACTACCTCCATCTGGTATGCAGCTAGCCTCATCCAATGCATTCTCCATCCTCTTGAATTCCGGACGGCAATCAGCCTCATTTGTTGCTGGCACTAGATGCTCCTGCTGCTTCATAAACTCGAGAGGCCCGTTATAGAGATACATGGATGCATGAGGCAATCACGGCTTGTCAGAATAACAATGCCAACCATGCTTGTGACCCTTGCGATGAGCTCACTGCATGTTTGACATCACCATTGGAAGAAGTCGTAGATATTGTTGCGTGGTGGGGGGTATGTCTTTTGTTTGCAGTTTTTTCAACTAGTTCTAATTGCTAGTTAGATTCATTCATTGCAGTATCCAACACTTGCTCGCATTGCGTGTGATTATCTTCCCATCCAGGGGAGTGCAGTTCCGTCTGAGCAAGCATTCTCTAGTGGGGGAATCACATCTACCATCTGTCGTAATTCACTGGCACCATCCACCTTTTCAGCTCTACAACTCCTGAAGGCAGCATGCAAGTATGGACACATTTCGGCGGTTTCAGGAGCATCAAGGGAGTCAGCTGCATTGGCTAAACTGTCAGTGCTCCTTCCAGATGTGTAGAATCTCACTGTACATCTTATTTTTGAAAATATGATCTATGTTTTGGTCCGGTTCACGTTTGAACCCTGATAGAATCGGACACAACCGTTCTGAACCATTCTCATTGGTTCGGTTTTGTATTCAATGACATGCCCTGGACTGGATGCAGGTTCAGTTTCTGGTTCTTATTCACCCCTCACTGAACCAGACTGAACTGGACCACGGCAGCACTAGTTAGCTGAGGTAGTTTGAAAAGAATAAGTCACCTTTTTCTTCCCTTTCTTGAGCTGCTGCGAAGGTACCATGGGATTGACTTCTGAGTCACTTATTTCGACAGTACCTCTTCCCTTCCATTGCCTTGCTGGGGCCATTAAGATCTCTCCAGCTTTTTGAGCTGTGCTACATGACCACCAACACCTCATGTGGACCGTTCACTTCACCATCAAGAAGTGTCAGTGTCTTCGGGTGCCGTGTTAGTGACCTTCCTTGTCCTTAAATTGTGGGGACTCAAGGACCATATAGGAGAAGTGCACTTGGCTTTCTTCCTGGGAGGCATGGAGTGAACTTGACAAAGTTCGAAGTTGGACTATCCTGAAATATAATAATGGAACTTATGTAAGCAAGCAACGGTACATTGTGCAAAGCACTACATTCAAATAACAATATAAGATCAAATGGAGGACAAAGGACAGGTGGAAGATGAAGGAAAAAACTACGGAAATACAAGATTTAGGTAGAGCTCACGATTAAACGAAGAATAAACGAGAAAATATGAGATATCGGACTTGGATGCAGTGCGCTCTACAGATGTATTCAACAAGAGACACCCCGAACCAGTCAACTAGCATTTGACAGGTACCGTCTTCAAGTGACAAGACCAATGAACAGCTAAGGAAAGATCAGGAAGCGACTGTGCAACAGTTGGCACACTGGCAGGCACAGATGGTGGTACAGGAGGTACTGTCTGCGATGCAGGAACAGTTGCAACCTGCTGTGATGTAGATGCAGGAGGAGGCAATGGAGCAATGGTTGGTTCTGGCGCAGATGGAGGTGCTGGAAGTGCAGGAGGAGGTATCTGAGCAAGTTGCTGACTGATCATACTTATGCCCCATGTTAGAATATCGCAGATTTTATCGTGAGACATGGCAATTGACTGAGTACTTGCAAGAGAAATCTCGCAATGCCACTCTTCAAGGAGGGGGTGGCAGAGGATAAAGTACGGGGTGATAAGCAGTGGATCAGCCATATCATGGATGAATTCCCGCTTCCAAATACTGCTGGTCGTGAGACCATCTTGGGTCATGTTCTCATAGGAGAGTGCCCACCTCCGAACAGCATCCTGTCACAAAACTTCTTCACTAGGTCAGGGGGCCAGTGCACCCTTCAGTCCTATATACATCACAGTGAATTTGAGCAGGATGTAAAAAAGCAACTCGAGATCGTCACAGGGCATATTTTGGACCAAAAGGCCATCTCCCATTAGGCGGAGAACACGAAAGGATATGTATGGTACAGTTCCCTATAAAGCATGAGGTTAACACAAGCAGAAATAAGTGCAACATTGTAATGCACAGTACCATGTGGACTTGGATCCGCGTTCCCATCATCATTGAGAAACTTTGCATAGTCAAAGTCTATAAAATAGCCTTTTCCTTCATAAATTATAACATTGTTAGGGTTGAGGTCTCCATAAAGGACACATTGGCCCACCATTGCCTTGTGGGCTACAATTCATGGTGATTACAGAGGACATCAGGTGATTGTGAAAGATCACCAACAATAAGGTTACGAAAAACCCCAATTAACTCAGGTACATCATTGAAGTGTGTCAATGGCACCCCGCAGGGTGTTAAGAGAATATGCCAATGAATTTTTTTCTCAAATTTGAATGTCGAGCAATGACTATGAATGTGTGAAGTGGAGTCGGGCTTCCCATTGTAAGCACATCCCAATATTTCTTGAGTTGAACAACGTTCGGGATGCCTTCGACCACTTTGAGAAGCTGTATCTCGATGTCTTTGACATCCTTGTTGACCCAACAATCCTTCAGTGTGTACTCCTGATTGAACTTGTCTCAAATGTGATAGCAGACAGTTCCATGCTTGAAAAGTCCGCGGCTTTTCCATAGAATATCCATAATCCAGTACACATCTCTGTCATTGTCATAAATCCAGCCTATCGCCCTGGGAAGCATAGCATCAAAGCTGTTTGGTAAATTAGCATGAGTTGGAATGGTGTTGCAAGAGTTGCAGATATGGATTGTTGGATCAAAGCTGAGGGAAGAGTGATTTGCTAAAGTGATGGTATTCAACACATTGACAAAACGTACGGGGGATGTAATGATCGAGAGTGGTTTTGAGATCACCATGCCAGAGCGATCCATATAATGGGCACAAAGTTTAAACTTAGAGATACTAAAAAGTAGGATGAAATGACGCCATGGTTGCTCCCGCATCATCAGATAGCCCTTGGTAGCAACCCCCAAGAACAAAGGTATTTTGCGATTGACAGAGAGGTCAGATTGGGTGATCTCAACTCCTGTGAGGACGTCTTTCCAGGACTTTTGTGAGAAACTGAACTTTCTGAGCCTGTAATCCAGGAGGACAAGATCAGGCTTCCATGAATCGGTAGCGTCTGGTATGGGATTGGTGGCGAACTCTGAAGACCAGTACCAGAGATCTGCTATCTCTGTGAAGGGTAAAATGTGCAAGCGCTGGGTTCCTGAGGGCTGCGATGACAAGGGCTGCAATCCATCAACATTGCACTCTTGGACTTGCTCCTTGAGCAGTTCGTGCATGTGATAGTATACCACCCAGAAAAGACACTCCCAATTCTTTTCCTCTGTTTGTCCTACAGGCTTTGCTCTTTTCATTCCAGCCTTGATGAAAGCCTGCTGCCCCAAGCTGCCCTCCGTCTCTAGCATGGAATCCCCTTCAATTTCTATGTCAGTATCTATCTGTGACTCAGTCTGAGCCGCCTGCAACCGGGAATGCCTAGCTGGCACCTTGCGTTTCATCTGAAAAGCATTCTTGAGTCGCCATTCCTTATTGAAAACGGGAGCCCCATGTATCTGAGTTTGGCTTCCTGGTACTTGTTTGATGTAAGTGATCCTCTTGATTTCCGATTTGTTGAGATTTGATAGAGAAATGAGGATTTTAAGGATGGAGGTCTTAGGCTGCAGGTCCCCCTCCCACAGAACCCAGGGATCTTGGTCTTGCAGGCCCAACTCACTTTTCATGAGTATATCCATTTCGTCCTTCGTGCAACATATGGGATGGATAGTGACAGTGCTGACAGCCGCTAGGAGATAGTTGGCAAAAGATGTTGACATGGGGGGCAATTTGTTGTCCTGTTGTCACTGGCGGTGTGGCACTCTTGTTCTTTCAGTAAGTTGTTCTTTCAGTAAATTACACAGATTTTAATCAATTTGATAATATTAAAATTGGTAGTGCATTTACCTGGTTTATACCGTAGCATGCAATAAGTGTTCTGCAGCTCATTTTCAAAGAGCCCTTAGTGTGCGTTTGAAACAGTATATAGCAATGGTATCCAAAGCTAACTATTGGGGGTAGTAGCACAGTGAAGCGCGTAATAAAAGTTCTTATTAAAATATTTGTTCAAAAAAACTCTTGGGAGTAATGTGTAGATGTAGCTGAAGTCAATTGTACATCCGCCGCATCCCCCAGGTGAGGGATGATACTAATAAATGCACAGAGTTGGCAAAGAGGAATGATACTACCAATAGGGGTACCATCTGCATGCTTTGCACACTTCAACACATGCACCCCAGTGGCAGGATCGCAGGGGCCAATGTTGAGATGCCACACATAACAAAGGTACTGATCTTGCCAAGCGATACGAGAACCTCGACAATGGATTGGGCGCATTATGAGGCATAATTCACAGATAGCATGGCCTTGGGAAAGTGCATTGATTATATACATTGACATATATGATGAAAAAGGACTCACCTGATAGACCTGATTTAGGTCAATCATATGCAGTATCCACATTGATGAGGATGGTGTCCCGTCAACCTTTTGGCCACCCAGGGCCAGGAGGAGAGGCATGGATAGTTTGAGCCAGCAACACAATATTGGGATTATGGAAAGATGTGTGCTGGAGGTGAACTGTGTCCCATAATTGAACATGGTTGAATGGAAGGATTGGTAGACAATCGATTGACGGTCTTTGTCTTGGACCCCCCACCCCATGAACTATTCCTCTCTCTCTCACATCATGCTGTAAGAAGCCAGTAAGTTGAAGTCAGTACTGACATCATCAACTTTGACTCCCGTGCAAGGTGGACTGTAGTTGAGGTGGATGGCAGTGTTTTTTCAGCAATAAACATTTGAGGGATACTGGAATCGCATCTCACAGTAGCCATTTTCCTGGCTTTGTGGAAATAATTGGTTGCAACACGAGTGTGGTTCATCTCCTCAAGGAGTGCCATTCGCGGATCATTTGTTTCCTGTTCATCTCCATTGTCCAGGTCATCCTCCTCAAGAATGTCTTCGGCCCTAAAATTAGGATCACGGGATGCAGGATGGCTCTTGAGTGATGTGGCAATTGCAAAACACCGCAACTTCTCCTCCCAATCAAGATGACGACAGATCTGCGGGTCATAATCCTTATTATTTGTTTGCCAGGCAGGTTCCTTGATTTCGGAAATGTGTGCATGCTTGGTAGCATCTGCAGACCACTGTATGAGGGTGCCAACTTTGCGCATGCTGGAAGTGATGCTCTGTAGGAGCTCAAGCTTAGGAATATGCCAATTTTCAATAGGTTTCTTTGTGCCCATCCACGCGCCTAAAATCAAGATAACGTCTTTGTGTTCATGAAAGGACGACAAAGATTGGTTGATACACACCAAGATATCGTCATTGGGTGCAGGACACTGTGCTAGGTAACAAAGATCCATGAGCACACAGATCGCAATGATAAAACGACGAGGGGCTGCACCAGATATTAGCCAACAATATAGCGCTGAATATCATGATGACCCCTACCTGTAACTTGTTTCAGTTTGGATATTCCACCAGAAAAGTGGCGATAGCCAGTAGTCAGCTGTAATATCGAGAACCGAAAATCCAGTTCTGGAGCTCCAATGACCACAATACACCACTGAAGATTGTGGTCATAAAATTCTTTCGTGCCAATGGTGCAATGATTCTGGCATCAGAAAGATGGAGGGATCTGCGAGTGGCCAATCCATCCAGAATGGTGCATACATGCCGTTCAGCTGCGAGTCAGCACAAGCCTCAAAATAAGCCTCCAGGTCATCAGGATTGACCGTGATGTTAGTGAGCTGTCCAAGAGTGATGGAGCACGTACAAGCAGGGTGCTGGAAATTATACCCAAACTGAAAATACAAGGCCATGGTGAAAGGAGAGGTCTTTCCATGCACATATGCAAGCATGGCTGCCTCTGGGGTATCAACAATGTATGCTGCGAGAAGGGTAAAGCAATGGTGGATGTTTCCTACCAGATTGGACATCATAATCCCAACTTCAGCAGCTTTCATCAATGGCTTTAAAACGATCGAAAGGCATTTATGGACAAGACGGTCTTCAAGCACACCCTGCATTCATTGATTGGGATGTAGATACTTTGGAATTGGAAGGAGAGCTGTGAGCAAGAAAGCCTTAGATGAGAGTTTTGTGTGGGTACACATGCGGATATTGGCGAGGCATAGAAGAAGAGGGTGGGAAACCCTGGCACCAGTCATGGTGGTGATGTTATTTTTGTCAGACGAAAGAACAGCACTGAGAACTGTAGCACCTCTGGGAAGTTGTGTCTGCAAGATATATGGTGAGATGATGCAAAATTCAGCAGAATCAGTACTTACTTGCATTTCCCAAGCAGAATATCCCGTAAACCATTCCAAATATACATGCAAAAGCCGCTCTGCTGTTTTGTAAACACGGCAAGGGATAAAATCAAGCTTGTCATGAAACAGTGGATTACTGAAAAAGCTTTCCAAGCATTCCATGGGGTCCCTCCAAAAGAGTTGGATTGGAGACTTGGTAGGATGGATGGAGATAGTCTGGCATTTCCAGCCTGGTCCGCTAGGGAGTATTTCAGCATGGCTTCATAGTTCTTTGGCATTTTTGAATGAAAGCTGCAATCCTTGGACCTAAAAACAAGAAGTGTAAGTTGTGGTTGATGTATCAATGCTCCAGCCTGAGGATGCAAAGAATACACACCATTGAAAGCTTCAAAAATTCATCTATTGCTGCCATGCTGAGGAACGAGCGCAGGAGATAATCAGCAACTTCCCACTCTTCTTTGGATGTGAAAGGATAGTAGAGGTTGTCTACCCTGCATTCTGCATATTCATCGGCATCAAATAAATCCAAGAAGGTCGAGCCATCTTGAGAGTAAGAGGCCCCCGTGCCATCATACTCTTCCTCCAGCGATTCTCCAAACATTCCAAATTCATCGTTGATGTTATCATATGAGTGATCCCCATCTTGAACTTCCAGGATGCTGTTGGTATGATTGCCTGTGCAACACTGGGGAGAAACCACTTCCACGAACTGCAAAACATCAACAATGTCACACATATGACTATGACACAAGTATTGAGGCTGGCTCAGGTGTCGAGTGACACTGCTCTCCTTCGTGAATGTTTTCCCACACTTTGGGCATGTTAGTGACATTGAAGATATTAAAATATTCACATGAACTTTGTTGATATCCAACTAACACTGTTATGATGCCCCATCAGAATCGCACTGCAGCCTTTAACCTCCAACACAAATGTGACTCGGTATTTTGAACATTCCATAGTACTACATACCCTTCTCCAAGTCTCAGAGGACATTCACATGAGCCACGCAACCAAAGACCTCTTTAAACCACAAATCAATTGGTGTTCTACCAGCCTGACTTTGGTGAAGCATCATCAATCAAGGATGAGAACTTCCCTACCGCATTGCACCTTGTGAGTACCTTGCTTGCTTTTACTTGCCAGGACTCACATTCTGCAGCAAGGTGATTATGCCCCATTGGATGGAGAAATAGAAGGCAATGAACACTCTGATCTCGTGCTTGTGGCTGCCAAAACTGAACAAAAGGTGTGCAAGGCCGAGAAGTACCTGGCCAACTGCATTTTGGCACACCAATCAGTGATTCTCAGCATCTGGCATCAGCGCGCCCAGGCCACAAATTCTCGTGTGTTGATGGCAGAGCTCGAAGTTGGACGCCTCCATATGGAGTGGAAGAAAATTGATATCTCAATGTCCATGACTCGAAGTCATTCAGATGACACAACAGTGAGTATTCGTCCTCAATTTTGTTATTTGTGAATTTTGAAAGTATGTCTACAGACAGTCGGCACCTCATCCTCATACTAAACTCACATATTTGCCTGAGTTAGGCTCACATTCACACCATCTAAAAATCCTTGAGTTGGGCCCACTGAAGTTTGCATAACAAGACGGAGGCAGAACATATGTAGAGCTTTTATCTTCAACCTTCATATAGTACTATAGTTCTATTTATGATGTAATTACTTTGTTGCCTTGTAGTTCTTGTATCGCTCTGTGGAACCTTGTGAAACCTGTAGTACTGTACTCATGTACCGTCTATGGACTTGTATGGCTCTGGATTGACATGTTGTTTCTGTAACCAAATTTGTAATTTGCTGATGCATGACAGGTCTTGATGCCTTCAATCGAGTGCCTCCAAAAAGCAATGACTTCTTTCATTCTAATTCAACTTGAAGGTGTGATTTTTATCAGAGCAGGCCATAAAGACCTTTGGATATGAAGGGAAAGGGAACTCAGTCCCCTTGACGTCGATAAACTGTTGTAGGCCACAACAAGTAAACAGTCAATTGTCTTATAATATCCAAAGCACAAGACGTCAATAATGCATCAAACAAGCTGAAGTGATACAACCACCATAACTAGAAAAGACCTTAACTATGATCACTCTGGTTTGCCACCATGACCACCTCTATAAGCACAGTCTGCCGCTCAACTGTGAGCATCGTCATCACTGCCAGGACTCAGATGTCGCTGTCAGTCATCCAATTCATCCACAATGTCGGTGTGAGACAGACTAAATAACTTACCACTCTTAGCATCACATACTGTTATGACTTGGATAGGTCGAGCCTTCTGTAGCTGAATGGCTAGTCTCGAGCAGTCAAAGCTCGGTAGAAGGACAGTGTTCTAGCCTTGGATGAAGCCCAAGGGATCCTCCGACAAGCTTGGTAAGTGTAGCAGCTCGTCAAACTGTAGGGCTAATGGATATACGGCTAAGGTAGTGTTGGCTTGCCTTAGAAGTGCAGAATCAAGACAGAGGGACTGGGAGTCACTCTGAGAGGATGTTCAAGGGAAAACCAAGTACAAGGATTGTACCAAGTAGATCAAAGTAAAGAATACAATGGTATGTGTCTAAGTTATATAGGGTCTATCCTACATAGTTCGGGAGGTGTTTGTATCTGTGGATCTATCTGAGTCAGAGATAAGATCCATGAGGCGCCTCTTCTATGTCAAGATACGCACATGAGGTGCTCTGGCCTCTAAGGTCCATCAATGCATGAGGTGGCATGTGTCAGTCTAGTTCTACATGAGGCGTACAGCCATCATGATGGGATCAGGAGGCCTTCTGGGCCATAATGAAGTCACTAGCAGTCTAGACTGCTGTCAATCAGGACCTAGGCTAGGTCCAGGCATGTTGACTGTAACACATACCAAAAACGCTCTCGCCAGCACTGACTGCCAGCATGTTGGATTGGGCTATGTTGATTCTCAAAGTGAATTCTGCTCAAGAAAGGATGGATTCAACTCAAACATGGCAACAAAGTGGCTCTGACCTCTAATACTGGCAAACTCCGGTGTAAACAATGCCACCCCCGCAAGATCAAATGTAGGTTGTGCCCCTTTTTGAAGTAAGCACAAGGGTCACTTTCAAGCCAGTATATTCTTTGAGCATCTTTTTCACATCCCTAGTATGTCACTGGTGGACTATCCACCCATTTGGAATGGGGAGACTCTCGGAGAAGTCGGTATTCTGCAGAGGGCAATGAGCATTTTGCCAAGCTGTGTGTATTTATTGTGTTACCTGTGGAAGGGTTTCAGCGGCCTGACAGGTGGGAGTCAACATAACATCTGATGAAGCAAGTAAAAACATACAGAGGAGCAGGTGAAATGGTGAGGACTAGTCTGACTTTGGCCTTGTTTGAGCAATCCCCTATACCATTAGGCTGAGGCTGAGGCATGCAGAGCTTACAACGTACCATTGTGACCCGTCCATTGTGACCTCTTGCAGGCCAATCATACTGCACTCAGTGAGCATCATTGATGCCCTCCGAACATTTGCTCCTGCAGGCAGCATGAGATACTATGCATGAAATATGTCGCATCATCACGAAGATATGGGCTTCTGGAATGAATTTAGGAGTCGACCGGAACAGCACCCTGAAGTTGATCACATACATACTCTCATGGGTGAATGGAAGGAGGATGTGATGCAGTTAATCTCCTAGTTGGACTGGAGCATGTGGGTGAAGTGCCGACCGGCCTGTGATTTCGAGGTAACAAAGTCAAGTTACTTGTTTGCAAAATGACTGACCTCATCGTATAGGAGATGTGCTACTATTTGCCTACCTGGCCATTTGGGTTTTTCTGGACTCCTGGCGCACTACTTCAAGGCCAATAGGACAGTGGTTCATTATGGCCAGACCCAAACAAAGAGGAATGGAAGAGACCACAGACGCCATGGGGACTCATCGTTGATTGCACCTACTGATGTGTGACACAAGGGTGGCTGAACACTGTCCAGTTTTCACTGGGGTGAGTAGCCACTGATGGGGGTACCTGATGGGATCAGTGTCACAGCGGCCGACATAGATCATGGCGGGAGTGATGATGTCAGAACAGATAACCCAGAACCTGCCGGCAAAACACACCCAGATGTGTTCCCCAGACTCTGCCCAGACGTGTCCCCCAGACTTTGAGGCGGAGTCTGGGCAGACTTAACACAGACTGGCCATTTCCTACATGCCCTCGGACTGGCCAAATCTCTGACATTCACAGACATCTAGGTGCAGTTCCATCTCAGGTTTCATCCAACAAATCCCAATTCTTCACTTACAATGTTATGTTCCTCAGTTGCTCAGGATGTATTGGCAGCAAGGCACAAAGGGCGTTTAGATCAAGAGTGCCAACACTCTAGTCTCTCACATGTTGTGTCATGCAAGTAGTAAGTATTATCCATGCTTGGTCATCAACGTCGAACACTCATCTTTACAACTCGCACATCAGGCATATCTACACATTCAACTCAGAATCAAAGCCTTGGGTGATGCATGTCACGAAGAAGCTGCTGACCATTTCACCGCCGCTCCTGACTGCCACGATTCATCACCAAAAATTTCCTCCCTAGTACACATTGTATATGACTTCTGACACTCTTTCCACATCTCCAGCCAAATGCCATTGTCCAAGATCTCGCCCACGCTCATTGAGACAGCACAGGCCTCCTCGTCTATGGCGCACCCATTCAGAACCGCCCATGGGAATGCAGGTCAAAACTATGTTCTGAGGCGCGCAGATGAGTCATGTGGTTGAATCCTGGTTTCACAGTGACCTGCTCATGCTCACTTTGTCAGAATTGTACATTCCCTACTTGAGCTGCAGCTCAGGCCAGAGCCATCTGAAGCCAGGCCAAAATAGCGGCTTTTGGGCCAAGCCGGGCTGGAACATCACTACTGTCAAATATCATTGTCAATAGTGCTGCCGTGGTCCGGTTCAGTTCAGTTCAGAGGGCCTTGGACGAGAACCCAGAACCAGACCATCAAGAACAGTTCTCAAGGGTCTGGTTCGGTTTTTTTGTGGTCCGAATGCGAACTGAACCGTATATTTTTCAAAGTGTCAAAAAATTCACAATACATCTACATGACATTGGGTAGCTAGTCTAACTACATACCAGCTGCATGCCCCTCTGCCTCTACTGCTGCTGACATATGTCCATGGGCTGGCCAGAGTGCCGAGAACCAGCTGTGACTGTTGCTGGGGTGTCCAGCCTTGAGCAGAATGGAAAAGGCATCTTTTGTGGATGTAGTTGAAGATGATGGCTGGGCGGAAGGTGGGACCTGGGGCAATGGTACTTCATCGTCAGGATCATTGAAGAAGGTGATATCGGAAGCATCCTTGAGGGAGCCATCAGCATTAAGAGCACAGCAGTCTTCAGACATCGTCAGGCAAATAACTCACAATTTCATTGTCAGCACCTCGTTTTATGCATGGTCCAAGCAAACCCAAACATCCCAGAGCAACGATATCCAAGGAGATCCATTACAATGACATTGATACCCAAAAAGTCTTGATGTTCAAGACCGTTTTACTTATGTTTCACCCAGTACATAGAGCGTTGACCAATGAAATAATTTACATGAGTTTCATGTCATAAAATTCGGAGGCGGACATTGATCCTTTACGAAAAGAAGGACAAGTCAGGGATATTGATAATCTAGGGTGCAGGAGGCATCTTACAGAGTTAACAGCTGGTGGAGGATCATGACAGTCCAGGAAGCGTATAGACTGGAACAAGTAGATATCTGTGATATAGTTAAATGTATGTCAGTCAGTGAGAGTCTTGAGAGTTGATTGATTAGTACTAACCTTCAAAATGGCTAAAGGTAGCCTAATTAACCAATAGTGCAAATCCAGAAGACGACACTTTGACGTCATCATAGTTGAAGTCGAAGTCGACAATGGGTTCGGGGTTCAGAAATGGTTCAGGAAAGTCAAACCAGAACTGGACCGTTTGGGAAGATCTAGAACCGAGAACCGTTTTCTGGTCCAGTTCTGGCTGGCACGAGAACCATGGACCGAACCACGGAGAACCGGACCAAAAGTCTGGTTTGAACCATGGTTCTGGACCGGACCACGGCAGCACTAATTGTCAAAGCATCATGATATTTGACAGTAGTCAGGGTACCATCCGCTCAGAAGGTAATTTTAGGGCTCACAGTGCCTCCACAGAGGACTTGAAATCAGCTATCGTGCAGCCAAACTTGACACCATCGCAGGTAGCATGTTTGAAGAACATTTACTTATTCATGCATTGTGAAACCCTTTCATTTTAGATACCTTTGTGCAAGGAGTCGGTTCTTTCTTTCACAGTAGAAATACAGTGTTGTCCTTCGTTTATCTCTCCAAACAGATACAGCACGTCTCTTTGCGTTCTGACTCTCAACAATGCCTGTTATGATGGTAGTCGCGTGCAGACTGGGATGATCTAACAGCGACAATCACGACAGTGATACCTCGTGCTGAGAGTCCAAGGTTGGCTCCTACAGACAAGCAGGAGTTGCGTACACTTGCAGAGGCGAGCGATGATAGCGGTTACAGGCAGAAGGGGTCTCAAGTCCTTCTGAAGGTGCGGATCGAATGTCGAGCAAGTAGCTCTAGCAGGACAAAGGTTTCAAGGTAAAACCCAGTAAGATTAAAGTAAGGGACATCTACTTTAATCTATCGACCTTATATAAGGCTACTCTATCGTATCTAAGCTCAGCTTGAAGCTGGGTTCTAAGTGCTTATCTATCGAGTCAGAGATACCATGCATGAGGCAGGCTTCTATCTATGATAAGGACATGTGGTCGTCCTTCTATCAGTACATGAGGCAATCATGAGGCTTGCCTTCTATCTTGATAACATAAATAGGTCTTCTAGACCTATGTCGTCATGATCATGTAAGCGATCCAGACCGCTTATCTAATCTGGCATCTTCCGGGCTTCTCTTCTGATCGTCATCTATCATCAAAGCCTAAAGGCTCGGGTATTGTGTTGTTGCCGTGCAGGGTGGCAGAGGGCATATCTGTAGCTGGGGGCTCACATCATGTTACTGTAACAATGCCATATATAATTGACCATGAGCAAAGGGATCCGTTCAAAGGTAAAGCCCAGTGAAAATCGGCTTTCAGCTGGCGAGTACAGTGAGACAAGTTAGATTTTCAGCAATCTTGATGCCTTATGTAAATTGGGTGCCTCCAAAATTTTAGCAATGTACGTAAGTAATGGGCCTAGGTGTTTGCTTTTGACCCGGCTGCTAACATAACCTATCACTGTCAGAAACTTTGATCATTGAGCTTGTTCTGTAAACTGCCGTACTCTTTATCAATGAGTTAGCAGTGACCACCGACTTTGTGGAACGACTTCTCATCTAATAAGCCCGAATCCCCGTTAACATTGCATTAGCTTGTGTTTTGCCGGACTAGGCAGACCATAAGCAAACGAATAAGTCATTGGACCTGTGGTGCCTGGGATGCAATAGGTACACATGCAATGGCATGGTCACCACATATACTTATGGTCGACGTATTTATGTAATGCTTAATGTGCCTCATGTTGTAGTAGTACAGTAGATATGCTCATAATGCATACCATTGGGGCGGCAAAAACTTGATGCATTTTGACACATGCACAACCACATATGTCACATCCGTGTGACACTTGTGACATCTGCCAAAATTGTGACATGGTACAGTATCCACAACACCTACATGTATTATACTTCGAAGTAACAATCTATGGAAATCTGCTTCACATTAAGTAGCTCCTCTCGTTGTAATTGAGCACGAAGAAACGGAGCTGTGAAGACAAATTCAGGGAAAACTGAGGACCACTGTGTTGCATGCAAGTTGCTGACACAAATTGAGGAGTTCCGTGCACGTGAACGATGGCCCATCCTTCTGCTGACTTGTCATCCAAAGGCTTGTGTTTCAGGTTTAGGGACATATTTATGAATATGGGACATCATATCCATTCCACGCTTACATAGCTGAGCAGGACAATGTTGGAGAACAATGGTTTGGGTGCTACTTATGTTCCTAGTGATGTGCACGGCCCGGCTTGGCCTGAAAGCCGCGGCTTTGGCCTGGCTTCAGATGGCCTTGGATTTGAAAAACTGTGGGCCAGGCCAAAGCCGTCAATGACAGCTTGGCTTTGGCCTGGCTCAGCCTGAGCCGCGGCCTGAGCACTGAAAACAGAAAAATGGTTCAGACAAGGATGACATACTATTTACACGAAGTCGCTGTCTGATTCTACGAGATCCTCATCTCCCTCCAGAAGAGCGTCCCAACCTTCATCCTCAGCATCACTCAGCTTCTTGGAGTCGTTAGTGTCTGACTCAATATCCAAGTCCTCGAGAGCTTCCTCAGTTGATAATGATGGTCCAGGCTCACAGAAGAGTACGTCGTGGTGGAGGGCACATTTGACACATTGAAGTACCTCAATGATGTCACCCTTGAGACGTTTTTGGTGCTTGCTGATAGTGATACCGCCCTGTGAGAACGCGCGCTCACTTGAAACTGATGATGCCATAATTGACAGGTAGTCACGAGCAATTGAGGTCCATACTGCCCCATATCTGTGTTCATTGATCTACAACAAAGAACCAGTCAGTAGCGAGAAGATATGGACTTAGTTGTGTACTTACTCCCCACCATTGGATTGCACTCATTCCTGGTGGAGGTTTTGTCTCTACAGCATCAATATAGTTTTTGAAACTTGCATATCATGGTCTAGATGGATCTGTATGAGTGACAACAGTCTCGTTGTCATCGTCTTCTTCGGAGCTTTGTGTCTCGCGAATAAACTTCTTAAGCCCACTAGCCTTCCCTTTCTTGGCCAGTGATGGTTGCGACGTAGATACTGCTTGGCCCAATTCATGATAGCGAGCCTCAAACTACATGGTTTGTAAGTGAATGTGAGCTGGTGAATAGTTTGGTCAGACATACCACTCGTTCAGTGCAAGCAAGAACATCATCTTGCAAATGTTCCGGCCAGTTCTTCTTGAAATACAACATTTTACCTGTCGGATCAAGCACTGCATGCAACATTAACATTGAAGACGCATGGAACATGAAACAGTCAGCACATACACATGGTCATGACATACAGTGGCTCAAAAAAGTGTCTCAAGGTTTGTTGGTTTTCATGTAATTGCTTTCTTATGAGTCAGGGTGTGGGAATCTGACTATGCTATAGGGAGGTGTCAGAAAGGTCCACCTCCCAGCTATATTTATGTTCCCTATAGCGTGGGAGGCCGATACTACCGTGTGAAGATATGGACATTTTAGTTTGATGACTCATTGAGACACTTTTTTGACTATAATTTTTTTTAGATAAATCAGACCACCTAGACAAAATATTATTACTAAATATTTCAAAAAATGGTGTCATATTAATTATATGGTCTGATTTTAATATCTGACATTTATATAAGTACAAGCTAAACCATGAAATCCTTCATAATCCTCATGAAGTCTATCTCTCCTGCTCAAAAGGATAATATCCTTGTTCTTACCTCCTCTGGTCTATCTACTAGACAGATTGCTTCCAAAACTGGTCTTAGCAGGGCTACTATTGCTAGAGTCATCAAGAAGTCTATTCTAAACAAAGAAAATATCAATATGGGACGTCCCTCTAAGCTCACCCCTCATGACAAAAGAGCTATTGTCCATTCTATTCTATCTGGAGAAGCTTCAAATGCTGTTTAAGCCACCAAACTCATTAATTCCATCATCCCCTCCACTGTCTCCACCCAAACAGTAAGAAATACTCTCAAGGCAGCTAACCTGAAAGCTGTAACCAAGAAGAAGAAACCACTTCTTTCACCAGCTCATAGGAAGAAGAGACTAGCCTTTGCTCTAAAGCACCAACACTGGACTATTGAGGACTGGAAGAGGGTTATTTGGTCAGATGAGACCAAAATCAATAGACTAGGGTCAGATGGTCAGGAATATGTATGGAAAAAGGCAGGAGAACCACTAGGAGAAAGAGCGGTGAAAGGCACACTAAAGTTTGGAGGGGGAAACTTGATGGTATGGGGCTGTATGGGATGGAATGGAGTGGGGATTTTGTGTGAGGTGGAGGGGAGGATGAATGCAGAGCAGTATGTCTCCATTCTAGAGGAATGTCTGCTCAGAAGCATGCAGGAGTCAGGTGTTGATGAAGAAGACATCATTTTCCAGCAGGACAATGATCCCAAGCATACCTCAAAACTGGCCACCAAATGGTTTGAAGACCATGATATCAATGTTCTATCATGGCCAGCACAGTCTCCAGACCTCAATCCTATTGAACACCTCTGGGAATTACTCAAAAGACTACTTGCTGCCTATCAAGATTCTCCAAAGGGGCTATTTGAACTATGGGAGAGAGTTGTGGTAGAGTGGAAAAGAATTATCAAAGAGGAATGTCAGAGATTGATAGAAAGTATGCCCAGAAGAATAGCAGCAGTGATTAAAGCCAAGGGAGGTAACACAAAGTACTAGAATTATAAAGATTGTATTGGTCAAACTTAAAGTCAAAAAAGTGTCTCAATGAGTCATCAAATTAAAATGTCCATATCTTCACACGGTAGTGTCGGCCTCCCACGCTATAGGGAACATAAATATAGCTGGGAGGTGGACCTTTCTGACACCTCCCTATAGCATAGTCAGATTCCCACACCCTGACTCATAAGAAAGCAATTACATGAAAACCAACAAACATTGAGACACTTTTTTGAGCCACTGTAGGCCGGGGAGCCTGTGGTCTTCTCATAATATTCATTGAGCTTTTGTGCAGCGGTGTGCAATGCAGGTGCAAAACATGCATATTTTGGCCGTCCTGCACGTGAAGACCAAGCTCTATGGAGAGTCTCGAGTGCAGGGATTGCAAGATGCAGTGTAGTACTCGATTCGGACAAGAATGCCTGCTGAGCCACATCCGCATACTGAAATATCAAATCAACAACAGCATTATATCAAATGACGAAGGTAACTTACATATAATAAATCAGTGAATTTACCAACACAGGTCCATTCGGCTGGCGCCAACCTAAGGAAGTCGATCTTCGCCCGCTTTGTCAAGTCTCGCTCTTGTAGCCCCATCTCATACACGAAGACGTCAATGTGCTGTTGTTGGGCAATGGGAAATCAGTCAAAACAGATGAGTGCAACTTTGTGCAGTGGAGGGCAACTCACCTTTTGATTGGTTTCTGCACGATTAATCATCACATAGGTCGACAACCAACAAACTTTCATGTCCAGAAGGAGTTGTGTAGGGCGGGAGATGCCAGCCTTGACTTGGACCGTTTTGTATAGTTCCTTGCACTTCGCGGAAGATCGCTCCTTTGAAAAAATCAGTAAATCATTGTGCACAAAGAGAAACCAATCACCTTTACACATATTGAACGTATGAGGCCAATCTCATCATGCTCACGATGCATGGTGGTATCTGGCTCATGAGCATGGGGGTTGTGAGGTTCGTAATGCGGCGCTTTGCTGTATGTACTGATCAGCACTTGGGTACCGAGATTAATTACATGAGCAAGACAGCTGTAAACACAATTGTGAGTCATGTTAGCTACGAGACAATGAGCAACGTACTTGATCCTTCATTCACGCCAAGGGAACTTCTTCTTGAATCGTCCTTCATAGAGTCGAGCGAACTCCTCGAGCATTGTGCCATTGTTGGCAGCATTATCACAAGTAACATGGCCCAACTATATATCATAATTAGACAAAGCCAAGCTGAATGCGAAGAGCGAAGATGACATGCCTTATGCGCGATACCAACACGATCTAGAACTTTGAACAGCGCACCTCCAAGATGCTTCCCATTGTGTGCATTGTTGAGCTGGGTAAAGCCAAGAAGTGCCGTTTCACTCTCCCAAAGCATCGTTGACTTCTCTTCGATCCAGTGTCCAGTGATGGCGAAATATCCATCGATATTGGTAGCTTGCCATGCATCACAAGTGATATTTATTGCACCACTAACAGCAGCGCTCTGTGTTGAAAAATGAGAAGCAGCACGCAGCACTAGATTGCGACTCACATTTAACGTTGTCTGGAGTCTCGTCAGGTTTCTTGAATATTCGCATGATCTCAGCTCGGGTGGCTTTACGATTGGGGATTTTGACTCCGTTCGTTGCCCGTGAAGCGACATTGATCATGTCTTGGAACTTTGGGTGCTCGATGGCTTGGATAGGCTAGATTAAAGTGTGTCAATGGTCAAACTATTATATCAAGGGAATCATACATACTTGGTCTGTTGCAACTAACCATTCGATCGTGGCTCGTTTGAATAACTTATTTGAGTATGGTATAACTCGCTCAGCGAGTTTGCGTTCAGTCAGGTGCAAATTGATTGTCTGCTGCGCCTGCTCGGCTTTCTCCTTCCGAGCTTTGATATCGCCAGGTAGCATAGACTCAAAAGAGTGCTTCTTTGCCCACTGTCGATACTTTCCCTACAGTGTAATCCGAGTCGTTAATATAAGCACAATGAACCATATGCGCACCGCAAAATTAGCCTCAGCGTGACGATGAAGTGTCGTAGATTCATTCACAAGAATACATTGCTTCCTGTTGATTCAGTGTGAGTGAGCAAGCACAACCATGACCTCGTAGACTTACAAACATATCTTGTACTTTCGATGCTTTTTAACCTTGCCATTAGTTCCTGCATGTTCGAACGTTGCGCCAAAAAACACATTGAGATCGGCAGTTTTGCTTTTGCATGTTGGAGCTGTGTCTGCAATAGGTTGGATGTCGACATCGATCGGAATACCATCATTGTCGACTAAATCATCAACCAGCGCAGCTAATTTGCACAACCATTTTGCTGCCAAAAGTTTGGTATCAGTTGTATGATTCACGACTCGGATGGCAAATACACTTATGTCGTGGATTGGTGCGCGCATCTTCACGTTCCCTGCCACCAGACTCGTCGTCAAGAACTTCTTCAACACAAGTCCTCTTACCCTTTTTGAGTGCAGCTGAGCTTGAACCTGATGGTGCAGTGTCACCCAAAGGTGAATTCAGGGATATGCTGGGGGTGGTTTGATCAGCGCCAGCATTGGAAGCATGTCGAGTATCAGGCAACTTCGCAGCCTCTGCTGCACGAAAGGCATTGATAGCCTTGGTTTGTGATGGGAGAGCCGCCTTCTCAGAATGTTGGAGAAGGGTGGCAGTAGGCTTGGTTTGGCGGACCGGCCGGCGTGCACGACATTCGTCATCACTGTCTGTGTGGACAGTTCCAACCATCAGACAAGTGGTGAGAGGCAGATATAAAAAATAAAAATTACCATCACAAATGCATGCCTTTTGTCTGAAAATGTATGTGATGGTTGTTGCCAAGCTTGCAATTTGAAGTCGCAAGAAACTTGCAAAGGAGGGCAGATTACTGAAAATGACGAGTGTGCTATCTGCCAACACTGTGGCAACTTGGCAAGTGAGTTGTGTCGAGCTTGGAAAGAATGTCTGCAACTCACTGTGATTCTTACCACATGAACATGCACACAATGTAAGTGATCGAAAAGCTAAAATGAGACAGAAGTCAGATTTTCAATTGACGATCACCAAACAGTTTGAGCTTGGGCGCTGCAGGCACAGTTGACTATAAGCCGCGGCCTGAGCCGGCGGCTTTGGCTTTTCATATTCCCAGGCCAGGCCAAAGCCGTCACCAGGCCGTGACTTTGGCTTGGCTTGGCTTGGCCTGGCCCATGGCCTGAAGCCGGGCTGTGCACATCACTATATGTTCCATTGCCCTAATTATGACCCTCTAATAATGCATATCATTCATGCAATAGCAATGCATTATGTGTTATGCATTATGTCTGCATTTTCAACCTGCCCGTGTCGGGATCCTCAAAAGTCCATGCATTATGACATATATGCAATGTTACGATATGCAATATGAACATATCTACTGTAGTATGTCCATAGCATGTCTTCACTTGAAGTCGTTCAACATCGTTGATTTGGGCATTTTGTTACTATGTCTCTTCTACTTCGCGTGGGCGCTGACCTTCAACTAGCCTATAAGGCCAGTCAGTCAATGATAAGCCCGAGATCCTCTAGGCGGGCCAGTGGCGGCTATACCCGGGTGCTACATAATAGGAAGTGCCGTGCAACTAATTCTATGTCAACTGATCAGCAAAAGCAGGTTCTTGTGGACTGCCATTAGGCCTTATCGGAGTCATTAGCTAGCCAACAAGCCGGTCAGCAACCACCTCATTGGAATGACTTCACATAGTATAACAAGCTGCATCTTTCATCCACGTCGTTCCCTCGCACCACCATGATTGCGCAGCAGAATGACCAGGAGACACCTCTTCTACAATGACTGGAGCAGCCAATGGTCAAGACACCTCTTCCATGGGATCAAATTTGGATTGTACTGCTCTTGGACATCAGTAAACCGGTGAGTTCTTGCTGGGGATTATGCTTTAGCAAGGTGCCGGAAAACAGAGCCTGCGGAAGTTTCCGGCACCACGCGTCCAGCTGAGCGCAGCTGTTTTTCCTTTCTCCTCCCGGCCCCCCAACTACATACATCTCCTCAAACGTATCGCTCAAACTCCCTTACGCTCTTTCTCGCTACGGACTTCATTCTTTTGCCATCATTTATCCATCTCTGCTTCCTCTCGAAATCATGTATCAGCACCTTGGCCTACGCATAGGATTGGACTCAGACGCTGCCGGCGCTTCATCCTCAGCGCAAGAATCTTCAGCAGCCGGTGCATCATCAAGCAATGCTCCTGGTCCATCCAGACCGCACCCTACATCCAACCCCACATCTGGCAGCAGAGCTGCCCAGAGTTCGAGGCCTACCTCCAACCAACAGCAGTCTTCGGCTGCGGCACCTCAGCCTTCATCGTCCAACCAGCAAGCTGCGGCACGCCCTCAGACGAACCCAGCCATGGCTCATCAAGGCAACCCAGCTACCCAGCAGCAAGCTCATCCTACTGCGCAGACTTCCTCAAATAACGCACCTCCCGCACCTGGTAACGCTGCGCAGCCGCAGGTAGCGAATGAATTAGCAGCGCTCAGGGCCAGAATAGCAGAGTTGGAGCGTTTGGAAGCTCAAGGCAACCCCAACCCGGCCAGAGCCCCAGCCCCTCAACAAGCACTTATTGGTGACCCTGCTACCATCGAACGTGTTCGTGCAACCATTGCTGCGCCGAAAGAGGATTCCAAGCAGCCTACGCTTCCAGCGCTACAACCTGGCCACAAAGTCAGTGCGCTTAGTATGCCCATTCCGCCCAAAGTCGAAGAGGCCTTCAAGAACTACCGCTATGTTCCTTACTCAGCTCTCACCCACATCGCTCGCTCCAAAGCCTACCTTCGGGGCGAAGAGTCCTCCTTCGTTTTCACGACTGAAGGCCTCACAGCCAAAGGCCTCGACCGTTCGAATGAACTCTCCATCTCAACGGTGGATTGGATTGCAGCATCCAGAACAGCGGAAGAAAGAACACTGTTTTACTGGGGTGTCGAGAGGGCCAATGCCCTGAGCTCGCATCATCAAGTCATCTTGGATATTGGTCGCACGCACTCATGGCTAGTAGCAATGCATTACGATATTCAGCAGAGGGAGCTGGCGCACGCGAACTATGATCACAACTTAGCTGGCTTAGATGTAGCTGCTCTTACAATGTTGAACAACAAAGTAGCCCATCAACCTTCTCAGACCCAAGCTCCTGTTCCGTCGAATAAGTGTCCGGCCCCAAATGACTTTGCTGCTGCCCCTCGTAAGAAACCGCACACTCAGAGCTGTTGCTTTTGGTGTGGAGGGTCAAACCACCTCCCCGGAGATTGTTCAGCGCAATTCACAGCTGCAGGCAAACCTGTCGCCGCGATCGCCTCCAACGCCAAGAGCAAGCATGCCTTGGCTTCAGCCGATGGAAGGCACTACTGCTTCAACTGGGCAAGCAGTTCCAATTGCTCATTTGGCGGAGCTTGCAAGAACCTCCACACCTGTAGCATCTGCGGCGACACGTCGCATGGAGCTGGGACCTGCAAGTCCCGACTCTGACCCTCGAACGGTGGTGACCCCACTCGATCATCATCGAGTGGAAGAGCTCCTACGTAAATATGGCATTCTCAACAACTGGTTACATATTCTAGACAGCATCCGCAATGGCTTTAATGTTGGCATATCCAACTCCCCATCTTCAACCCATATATTTCGAAAACCACCAGTCATCATTATTAAACCCTTCCATAATCAACACGTACATAATATCAGAACAGGCGGCGGGCAGATATTCCAGAGGCTTTACCCCCGCAGAATTAGAGCAATTAATTGGACCCTTTCGCACATCACCACTGGGCCTCGTCCCAAAACCTCACTCCGACAAATTTCGTATCATACAGGACATGTCATACCCTCGCACCTCATCCAGCATAGCTTCTGTCAATGCCAACGTCAACTCCGACGAATTTCCAACTGTATGGGGAACATTCGACAGCACGGCTACCCTCATTCTTTCCCTTCCACCTGGCTGCGTCGCAGCCACATTCGACATCTCAGCAGCTTACCGCATGGTTCCCATTGCACCATCGCAGCAAAATGCCTTGTGCATCCTTTGGAATGGTTTAATCTATGTCGACCATGCCGTCATGTTTGGCCTCGCGTCCAGCGCTGGAGTATTTGGTTCAGTGGCCGACATGCTCGTTGCAATATACGACAAGGCCGGGTTCAATCTCATTCGCAAGTGGGTAGACGACTTCCTCGTAATAAAGCTACCACATCAGCTATGGACCGAGCACGATTTCATGGCTATAACATCATATTGCGGCGTCCCGTGGAGCATCGAGAAGCTACGGTTATTCGCGTCAATACAGCGCTACATCGGCTTCGACTGGGACCTGGACCTCAAAGCAGTGTCCTTGCCCGCAAACAAGCTGCAAAGGATCCAAGACTTAGTTACAAGCTGGCTTCATATTGGCACATCCTTCACCTCAAACGAAGCCTCCAGCCTCCATGGGAAACTCGTTCATGTAGCATGCATATACCCCCTCATTTGGCCTTTCCTTCGCTCGATAGCACGTTTTGCAGCAGTTTTCAAGTCCCATCGAGCACACTTACAACCATCAGCTTCAGTTCACGCAGATCTTCCTTGGGTCCAATATCTCTTATCGCACCTCCCCAACCGCGTGTCCCTTGCCAACCCAGAACCTCTCAACATCAACTGGTGGGGCGATGCAAGCACTTCGTTCGGCATTGGAATCGTTATAGGTTGCCACTGGGCCATCTGGCGCTGGGCCCCGGGGTTCAAAGTGGGACCGAAGCAGGCGTTTGACATAGGTTGGGCAGAAGCTGTTGCAGTAGAGCTAGGCATTCGAGTGGCTCTGTCACTAGGTACTACTACATATTTCCTTCTAAGCGCCGCATATCTCACGTATGCCATCTTGGCAGACACCTTCTCTCACAGTGTACCAACTTGAAACAGATTCATTGTTTTCTCTGACAACGCAGGAATTGTTACAGTGACAAACAAGGGTCGCTCTCGGAGCTCCGAAACAAATGCGATACTAAAGAAGATCTATCTCCTGCAAGCACTGAATCAATTTCGTGCCCATGCAGTATATGTTCCCAGCCGCGAGAACATTGCAGATGCTCTTTCTCGTGGCGACATCTCTGGCTTCCTCGCAGGTTTCCCGGAAGCATCCAGCCAGACGTCTGTACCTCTCCCAGCGCATTTGACAGACAAGCTAGTCCCATTCGAGTGGTCGTAGCAATGGTTCCCCATAGTTCAGCCCTCCCTTCTCCCATAGCACCTTCCATACCAGTACACTCGTCTCATCACCTGCAATTAAATCCCTCTTCTCTCCGTCCTCCTTGCAGAGCAGAAGAACGCATTTTTCGCTGGCACGGCACGAATACACCACCACCCTCAACAATCGAGCACCCATTAATACAACACATTGCCTCTCTCGCCAACAGAGCCTCTCTGCGCGATACGGCGAGCTATGGAGCAGGCTTACGAAAATTCCATCTATTCTGCGACATATTCTCCATACCTGAATCGGCTCGCCTGCCAGCGTCCTTCGAACTTCTCCACTCATTTGTGCTCTGGGCGGTAACGGACCCAGACCCTAATGATCCTATCCTAAGCGAAGTTGATTCTGCAACCTTTGAACCGGTATCTCCTGGAGTTGCACGCAAGTATCTATCCGCTGTGCGAGCCTGGCATATCGCTCAAGGTTGGCCTCCCCCGCTTAATGATTCTAACCATGAACGCATCAACTGGTCTCTGCGAGGTCTAGAGAATTTGCATGGAAGGAAGCGCAAACCGCTTAGACCCCCCATTACCCTGACAATGCTCACGGCACTGAAGGCTACTCTGACACTATCAGATCCTTTCGACGCCTGCATATGGGCCATGGCATCCTGTGCCTTTTTTGGAATGATGAGATTCGGTGAAGTCTCTTGCAAGTCACGAGCGGCCTTCAATACATCCTTACATTTGACGAGAGCTCATGCCTTATTTGGAATGGACTTGCAGAATTGCCATTATGCATGTTTGGATCTGCCAGCGGCCAAAACTGCGCGCCCTGGGGAAACACAATCAGTTTTTCTCAATGAGCAGGGAGATTTATGCCCCTTAGCAGCCCTACAAAATTTAGCGCAAGTAGTTCCTGCCTCAGCCAACGATCCATTATTCTCCTGGCGAGACCGCAAGGGCAACATCCGGCCCATGGTTAAAGTGCGAGCATTAGAGCGCATCAACGCAATATTAATGGCTTGGGGTTGGGGCACGTCGTTCGGACACTCGTTCAGGATTGGAGGTGCTTCCTTTTACTTGGCAAAGAAAGTAGACCCAGAGATTGTTCGCCTTGCTGGCCGCTGGAAGTCACTTGCATATGAAACATATATTCGAGCCTTCGAGCAAATATCTTCTCGTCACCTCGCTAATGCAGCATCCTTACAGTGACAGCCTCCACGGTGATTGGGCTAGCAGCTGGTCAGCCGCGATCCGTTCCGGCTGATGGGCAAGCGGCTCCAGCTGCTCGCGTCCCACCCGAGCTACGCTCGGACCAGCCCAACCACCATAAGGTCGTGTCACCGAGATCGCATCAAGCCTAGCACAGTTGAAGCTGGATTAGCAAGGTGCCGGAAAACGGAGCCTGCGGAAGTTTCCGGCACCACGCGTCCAGCTGAGCGCAGCTGTTTTTCCTTTCTCCTCCCGGCCCCCCAACTACATACATCTCCTCAAATGTATCGCTCAAACTCCCTTACGCTCTTTCTCGCTACGGACTTCATTCTTTTGCCCCCACCCACCTCTCCCTTAGTATTCAGTTTAAACAATAGTTTTATTCATATCCGTTCAAGTACATGCTATCATTTAAAGCAATACAAGGTCTATCTGTGACACGTCCGAAATTCGTGATCAGTTGTCCCGCCCTCCCAGCGGCTCCAGCTGCTCGCGTCCCACCCGAGCTACGCTCGGACCAGCCCAACCACCATAAGGTCGTGTCACCGAGATCGCATCAAGCCTAGCACAGTTGAAGCTGGAGATTATGGTGCTTTTACATAGTCATATATTGCTTTATATCACTTTATATTCCAATGTGACGAAAACCTTTCCTATATATTACGATATATAATGATATATGACGATATCTTCTTCTCACAGGTTCTCTGATGCCGAGATGCCAAAATTTATCTCTTCTCTGACCCTTGCCCCGTTTATTCCTCAAGTGAGTATATTGTGTTTGCTTGGACTTATATCTGACCACAACTGGACTTTGTCAGGCTCATTAGAGACATTGGAGTCACTCGCGGAGACGAATCCCAGGTTGGACACTATGCCGGCATCCTTGTAAGCATGTCTTCATCGTTTTTGCCCTTTCGTTCGTCCATGATACTATTCTCTCCAGGAATCATCATACTATGCAGCTCATACCCTGACCATCTTTCATTGGAGTCAACTGTCCGACCACATCGGGCGGAAGCCTGTAATACTGACAGCTCTATTAGCAATTGTTATTTCGATGTTTTCGTTCGGGCTGTCGAAGACCTTCTTCGGTCTGGTGGTCAGGTCAGTAAATAGTAGCTGTGACCATCAATTCCTGACATTATCGACCAGTCGTATTGTCTGCGGAGCATTTGATGCGAGCGATAGTATGGCCAAGAGCAACCTGATGGACATCACTGACGCAACCAATATGCCCAAGGCATACAGTTATGTCCCAATCCCGTGGACGATCGCAACCACAATTGGGTAGGTATACCGCTTTGGGAGCTCATTAAACGAGGATTCTTCGGACAGTCATACTCGAGGCCTCGCCAGCTATTGAGCAATGTTATAGTTGATCCTGGCGAAGTCAAATCAAAGCCGCTTCCGCTGCGTGCTTTACTAACCTCGAAAGTGTTGAGCGTAACAGCGTGTTATGCCACCACAGGCCTGTTTGAAATAGGGTTCAATTCGGTTTACCTGTTTTCTATGCGACACCGATTGAACTTGGTGGTCTTTCCCTTGACCCTCCTCGCATCGGCACTTTACTTGCGGCATCAAGTGTCATAAATGGAATATTTCAGCTACTTTTCTACACTCGTTTAAATGATTGCTTCGGTGCCAGAGCTATCCACATCACCGGCGTCAGCTCCGGCATACCCATGGTCATTTTATTCCCAGTGACCAATACTTTGGCTCGAGCCTATGGAATAGGCATGGCTGTATGGCTGTGTGTTGTCGTCCAGCTTATGCTGATGACTAACCTGATGATGTGCTTCCGTATGTTAATCCAGCACTTCCTGCGTTCTGTTGAACTGAGAAGAACCCATAGCCTGCATAACATTATTCGTCAGAGCAGCTGCTCCCAATCGCGCCTCGCTCGGAGCAACCAACGGAATTGCCCAGGCGGCTGTTGCAGTAGCAAGAATCATCGGCCCAGCGTCTGCAGCTTCGGTCTTCTCTTATTCATTGCAGGAAGGGCATGATGCGTGGTCGATATACTACTTCTTTATCGCAATTGCATTTCTCGCTGTATGTACTGCTTTATTGCTTCCCCGTGATCCTAGTGTATGGGAAGATTCCCAATAGCGATTGACCGTGTGTTATGATCTAGTGTAGGAGGTAGAACTGGCAAGACTTCAGGCTATGTAGATTAGTATCATGTGTACAACATTCCCTACTCCCATGATAAGCTTTTAGGGAGGGTCCTGCCTGCAGAAAATTTCGTGCGGTTCCATCTGGCTGTCGTACAAGTATAGTAGCCCCTTTTATTCCGCCATGATCTTGAAAAATGATCGCTCGATTATTTGAGAGCAAGCTGACTGCAGAAACAAAAGGCGTTCTCAAACGTAAAAATCCAATCCGTCACCGGGCTTAGTACGAGGATGGATAACGGGACGACCGTGTGCTAGTAAACGTTTGATAGCCTTAGATAGCATGCCTTCAGAACAGCATCGACCGACATAGCACCAAACTACGCATCTGTCGAGAAAACGCCGCAAGATAACGCAAACGTTACCGCTTTTCGTGCGACGAACACGATTGCCGAACAGAGAGGCAGCGCAGAGAGCTAGAAGGGTGGGCCATCAAACCTCCGATTTCATTATAATTCAAGGTGTGATTTTTATCAAGGAAAGCGGACCATGAAGATATGAAGGAAAAAGGGAACTCGGTCCCCTTGACGTCGATAACCTATTGTATACCACAACAAGCGAACAGTCAATCGTCTTATAATATCCAAAGCGCGAGACGTCAAAACGCATCGAACAAGCGGAAACGATACAACAACTAGAAAAGACCTTAACTATGATCACCCTGATTCGCCACCGTCACCACCTCCATAAGCACAGTCTGCCGTTCAACCGTGAGCATCGTCGTCGCTGCCTGGTATAGAGCACTGTTTTGATTCTGGAATGCTATGAAAACGGTCATTGTCAGTAGGGAACAGTGTAAGATTGTAAGAACGAACGACGTACTCTGTAATGCTTCCTTGAAGGTGACATATGGGTTGATGTTGTCGAGCGGACTGAAAAACCCTAGTTCTTCCTCGATCTCTGATTCTTCTGATATATCTGACTCATCGTCTCCTGTTTCTGCTTTCTCAGATTTTTCTCTTAGGCGAGCACCCTATGATATTTGTGTGAGCGGTAGGTTGCGAATATGGAATTGTGACGAACCTCTTTCGCTAGGATCTCGAGATACGCGGAATCTTCGTCCCAAACATCCTCTAAACAGAAGTGTCAAGAGTCTGAATATGCAACAAAGCAATATACGCTTACCATCTTCTTCTCCCTCAAGATTGAGATATTTAGTTTCGTCCTCATCTTCATCATCGTCCCCTTCAACCAGCTGATCTTCCAACACCTTGCGCTCTACAAAACCACACCATCAGTCAGGTTACCAGTCATACAACAATCTGCAACCCACTCGCAACAGCCTGAGGCAGCCCCTTGAAAATATTCAAAGCGCCACCCACAATCCCAGGCCATCCATCCCTCAATCCTTCTGGAATCGCGCCAGCCTCCATCTCCAACAACTTACACAGCGCCAAAATGCTCAATTTCTTGTCGTGCACGCGTGGGAGCTTATTGTCGCTGTTGATTGCTGCGAACCAGCGCTCGAAAAACGTGCGTGAGAATCCTGGCTTGTAGGCCTCCATGAAATGAAGCGCCGCAGAGGCGTTGTAGAGGACGGTGTTGACCAGAATCTCGAGATTGGCAAGGCGGAATGAGGCAGTCTCGCCTTCGTCGATGTGGTCTGCGGCGATGGTGACTATGTCTTGGAGTTGCTGCAGAAGCACGATGAGAAGGTGTCTCAGGTGTGGATCACGAACACAAAGACTTACGTCATCCACATGGCCGTGCAAGTTAAGAAGCATCGACTCTGCCAGCTTGCATCCGTTAATCTTGTCGTTATCACCCAGCTGTGGGCTTGTCATAGCCGTGCGGTACATGTCCAACACCTTCGACCTATAGTCAGGGCGTGCCTTCAGCACATCGGTACCATACGACACAAAGTTGTCCAGCGAGGGGAGCATTTCTGCAAATTACCACCTCCATTAGTAACACAACCTAGAGATACGCGGAAAGTAGTGGGCTGTACCATCAAGGAAATCAACAGCATCGCTCTTGAAGAGGTCATAAGTCAACTCGAACACTGGCCACATGTTCGGTGATATTGCGTGAAGACGGAAGGTAAGGGCATCTACGAGGTCATACATATTATCAAATAGATCTACAAACGCTACAATCAGCAATGCCCTTCGTGCAAAAAGGAACAGACGCACCGATCAACTTATTCTCAAGGGTGAAGCGGATGATGGGTATGATCACCTCCTGCACCTGCGACAAAATCTCTGGCGACGAGTCAATGCATGAAACCACCTACGCAGCTTTTATCAGACGCGTTGGACGAACATGATAGCGAGAGTACACGCACGGTTCCAATAGTTTTGGCGACTCCCATGGCGCCATATACTTTATCGTCGTCGCCATCCGACACGAGTGATTCCACATCGATGCCGTCCGGGAGTGTTTCATTCTGCTGTGCCAAACCCTCTCTTGCAAGGCGTAAGTAAGACTCGCACTACATACATGCGGTCAGCATATTATAGTAATCATTATAGGACAAGACGCTCACCAGGCGTGCAGTGAGCTGCGAAGCCACGGGCATAAGCTCGTTTTGGAACCGATCTACCATAGCTTCCATGCTGTGATTCAGGATATCGAGGTCCGTCTCATCGGAGAGCTTGAGAAGATCTGCAGCAGCCACCATCGAAATAAATGAGTGCATCGATAGGTTTAGACACGAGATGTACCTTGCACGACCTTGCCTACTTGCGGAGAGACGGCGTCCCTGACTAAAAAACCCAAGTTAGCTTGAACACAGCATAAGAAAAAGAAATTTTTTTGTAACACACCAGAATCGTGGACGACAACCAGCTCAGTGATGGCCAATGCAGCTTGCACGCGTACCGGGAGTTCCTGATCATCCAGGGCCAACGCCACAGCACGGGAGTGGTTGTTCAAGTTCTGTGCAAAATTGACGTTAGCATGAGAACAACACTTATAGTAAATATGTCTACCTCTTCGGTAGCCCAGGCGATACCGGCCTTGGTCACTACGCCAAGCACCTCACATGCCTGAACCGCGTCAGCTCAAGAAAGTTGACGGAGATAAATAGACATACGACACTCCGCAAGTACGGCTCCTGCGATGTGAACTCGGGCAGCACGTACTGTACCATGAACTGCTCGATGCTTCCCTTGACATCGGGATGGCGGACGATGAAGGGGCCAAGGACTGACATCATCGTAAGGGCGCCGAAGCGCTGAGCCGGCGTGGGATTGCTATATCGTATTCTTGTGAGTTGATGGATGTAGTAGATGCAACAGGGACGCACGAGCGCAATACAGTGTTAATGAACTGGAGCATCGGGAGGAAGGACGTTTTCGTGCGGTTGCTTGCGAGGGAGAGAAGGAACGAGGTGGCGCCACTTACGGGGGACGAGAAGTTCTCGTACTCGTCTTTGGCATGTGAGACACTGACACGGATAACAGGAGAGTGACTAGGTAAACTCACCGACACTAGCACGGACGTATTCTACGGGATCTGCCTCCCACATGGCTTGTTTGGACGCATTGAAAGTGAGCTGGGGGAATGCAAAGTTAGCCACGAGGTTGTCGACATGGGGCTTCAGGAGTATCCACGTCGACTTTGGCTTGATACTGTGGATAAACGCATCAGCATAATCCGAGGGATTGAAGGTCGATGCGAACCATTCTGTGAAAAACTGGAAGATTTGGTATTGGCATTTCTTGCCCAACCACGCCTGTCCTGAAACGTATAGCTCGACTTGGTGGAGATACACCTTGAAGATTTCGGGAGCAAAGGCAGTCACGAAGTTCTGTGCAAATACGCCATACTCCTTCTGCATCGGTGACGGGAGCTGAGAGGGATTGCCGAAGCTACGATGCTCTTAGAGACGCACAGAACATTCGAAGAAAATACACACCGATGGAACAGTCGACCAAGGATTCCATACGCCCATTTCTTGGCCTTCCACCATTCGCATCTCTCCCGATCTTCCTCGTTAGTTGGAACACCTTCCACGGGAACAATCATCTCCACGACACGAAACAAGAGTCTTCCCCAGGGAACGAGTGATTCTTGGCTCTGCTGGTGTGGAGAAAGGTTGACAATAATTGCAGTTTTGTACGTCTTAAGAATCAGGTGCAGCATGGCTGGAATCTCCTGGGACGCAGGTTGGGACGGGGAGGTATTGAGCATGCCATCAGCGATAGTGACGAGCGTAGGGAAGAGGGTAGTAATAATGCCTGGCAGGACGTCGGCTTTCTGGCGGAATCTACGCGTTTATTAGAGAAATCTGAAGGATAACGCAATGAAATACATACCTGAACGCTCTAACGCATTCGAGGGCGGCTACGACACCCGCTCCTACCTCCCTCACGTCTCCGCTTCCCAAGAGCCTTTTCACGTCATCCAAAAGAGATGGCCAGCGATCGGGGAAGTCATTTGCCACAAGGTCCTTGAGGGTCGCTGCGACCTGGACGGTGATGGAACGGCTTGGGCTAGCAGAAAGAAGGGGAAGAATGTTGGCTTTTAGTGCGGTGCGGTCGGATTGAGCAATTGGAACGTGGTCTGGGCGCGGATTTGGTGGAAGGATGTAGGAGGTACGGACGCGATTCTTGAGGTAAACACTACAAGCTTGGCGAGTGGCTCTGTCATAAAATTATTATAACGAGTGTCATGAAACTTAAGAGTAGACATACAATTCAACGCCGTCAGATGCGATGATCTGCAAAAGGGCAGTAAGCATGCCCTCCTGTGCACCGATCTGCACGGGCGATTAGCGCGATGATTGCAGGTCTAATGAAACAAGACATCACTTTGCGTATTTGGAGTTCGCCAGTCTTCTGTACATTAGGATCAGGATTGTAAGTTGTCGCGAACAAATTCGCGAGTGATTGAAGATCCATCTGTGCATCATCCATGATATTGATCAGATTAGCATTTTTTTCATGTTAAAAGATCAGCAATGAAATACAGACCTCGGGCAGGTATATTATGAAGTATGAAGAAAAAGAGACAAAGGACAAATGGTCGTGAAAGTCGTTTACAAAGGCTACACGCGAGCTTTAGTAGAAAAATTGGGATCAAACACGCGGGCAGCAACGCGTTTAGTGTTGACCTAATTGATCATGATAAGATTACATCATGTTGACATGTACCAGCACGCGCACCGAGCTTTCTCACTTGTACATCAACTGCCAGCCTATTTTCATGCAGCGAACTGCTCTAACAGGCTGGCCTTTGTGGTGATCACACAGCCAGAGCGTTCAGTTTGTAGTAACACGCTGGTGTCTTCGGATTGGCGGATAATTTCAAAGAGCCATTGATCAGCGAAGTATGTACTAGTATATTGACACATTTACGCGCTGCGTCAGTGATGGCGTACGTGTCTGGAATCACTGCAATTAATCACTTCCTAGACTCGTGACAGTAACTGGTGATCCAACGTCGAGAGCTCCTTGGACCGGCGCCAGAGGCATTGCTGTCAGGATTTCTAGACTCAGTTTCCTGAATGATCGATGACTAACTGGGCCAACGAATGATATCCACATATTGTGGGGCTATGTAGTACGGAATTCTTCCCTTGAGTCTTTTTCATTTCATTATGGGTACGAATCTTGTGTCTCCCACCGCGAGTGGCGTAACGTAGCAGTGCTCCCAAATTTGACAAGTCCATCTAGATGTTTAAAAGTGATCTGCGATGGTGCTTCGAGACAAGCCCACGCAGCAGTTCCATGACATTGAAATAGTAACGTAAGAATGGAAATGTGGTGCCGCGTAGATTCGCAGACATTGGTCGTTTTTGGAATGCTTTGACTCCTTAGGAAATGTAATGCGAAGCTTCGGGTCCATATTGAGAGCGATGCAGGGAAGCTCCGATAATTATTGTATGGAACCATGTTTGCAGCCTACGCGTGATGAACGTTTTGACCTCAATTCTCGCTCATCGGAATTCTTCTCCACCTATCTGAAATAAACATCGTCATTAGAGCTAAAGGTGGGATCATCACAATCGCGCTTGTATGATGCCAGTGTCGCAAAGTCCATTCTTTGAAATTATATCTGGCACTGTGCAGAGGTAGTATCTAAGACATGATATTGCTTGACAACGAATAGAATCTTACCTCGACGACTTTACACTAGGTAGCTTGGAATCTTTCGGCGAGATGAAGTTTCCATGGGCACCCAGTGCGAAAAATTGACGTAGGCATGCTGAAAAGCTGTCTTGGCCTTCTCACCCGTCTTCGACCGGAACTCATCGCCAAAAAGGTATTCCAGGAAATTGATGACGAAGACTCTCTGGCAGTGTATCAGTTTCGCATCCTCGCTTCCGTTATAGTGTATATCCGAGATCGTGCCTATGGAGAGATTAATGAGAGCATACACGTCCTTGGCAAGAAGCAGCAAAAGTCTGCTGGGCAGCTCTCACATTGTCCTGTTTCGAACATCCCATCATCAACCTTTGCCTTCAAAACTTCCAAAGCGTCCACCAGGCTTCTGGACGTCCCTTGGAGTAGAATCGCTGAAATGCAAGATAGAAGAGGCTCCGATGGATAGCTGGTGATTCGTGAATGCCCACGACCTATCTTCGGTCGCCGAGAAGCATATGCGCAGGTGACTAGCTACTCCTTTTCGAGATAAGAAACAGCATTGGGGAACCGAAGTAAAAGATCTCTGAAACAGCACAGCGAGAGCCTCGTTTATATCTTGAGGATTGAACATTTGGGATTTGCAGCCAGCCACTGGCCAGCGTCATAATCTCAGTGATGGTATGTTTGTCCATGATACTTTCCACCTGGCCTGGTCAACGAAACTGAACATGAGGATAAAAACACGAGGACAAACAGTGGACGACTGAAGCCGGTTAGACTAGAACGGCCTTTGTTTCTGCATTCAGCTTGCTCTCAAATCATCAAGCGATCTCGATAGCGAAGACAGCCACTTCCCTACAGATGGGTTTGTAGAGAACAGCACGAAAGTTTGCTGCAGACAGAACCTCCCTAACTTATCATGGGAGTACGGAATGTTGTACACATACTAGTCTACATAGCCTAAAGTTGTGCCAGTTCTACCTCCTACACTAGATCATAACACGCAGTCAGTCGCTATTGGGAATCTTCCCATACACTAGGATCACGGGGAAGTGATAAAGCAGTACCTACAGCGAGAAATACAACTGCGATCAAGAAGTAGTATATCGACCATGCATCATGCCCTTCCTGCAATGAATAAGAGAAAATCGAAGTTGCAGACGCTGGGCCGATGATTCTTGCTACCGCGACAACCACCATGACGATTCCAGTGGTTGCTCCGCGCGAGGCGCGATTAGGAGCAGCTGCTCTGACAAATAAAGTCATGCAGGCTATGGGTTCTTCTCAGTTCAACAGAACGCAGGAAGTGCTGGATTAACATACGGAAGCACATGATCAAGCTAGTCTTCAGCATAAGCTGGACAGAAACACACAGCCACACCGCCATGCCCATTCCATAGGCTCGAGCCAAAGTATTGGTCACTGGGAATAAAATGACCATGGGTATGCCGGAGCTGACGCCGGTGATGTGGATAGCTCTTGCACCGAAGCAATCATTTAAACGAGTGTAGAAAAGTAGCAGAAATATTCCATTTATGACACTTGATGCTGCAAGTAAAGTGCCGATGCGAGAAGGATCAAGGGAAAGACCACCAAGTTCAATCGGTGTCGCATAGAAAACAGGTAAGAGCGAATTGAACCCCATTTGAAACAGGCCTGTAGTGGCATAACTCGCTGTTACGCTCAACACTTTCCAGGTTAGTAAAGCACGCAGCGGTGTAAGCACGCTGGCTTACCTGAGTTCTCATAATCAGTACATATACCGTCGCTGATACTGAAAGCTAAGCTTTCAGTATTTCACCTTTTGGTGTAACGGTTATGCGTGGCGGCGGTCTGACCATGTTACATATACTGAAAGCTTAGGGTTTGCAGGAGGTCGGGCGTTCCAACCCGCTCCGGGTCAAATTCCAAGGTTCGCCCTTGGGGTGGACATATGTACCCTCCCGTTTCGGATAGAAACTCCCACACAAACCACAGTGCCTAAGCGATTGGGAGCAGGACTGGTAGGGGAGGAAAAAGATCTGATAACGTGGGAGGGTGTAAGCACGCTGGCTTACCTGAGTTCTCATAATCAGTACATATACCGTCGCTGATACTGAAAGCTAAGCTTTCAGTATTTCACCTTTTGGTGTAACGGTTATGCGTGGCGGCGGTCTGACCATGTTACAAGCGGAAGCGGTTTTGATTTGACTTCGCCAGGATCAACTATAACATTGCTCGATGGCTGGCGAGGTTTTGAGTATGACTGTCCGAAGAATCCTCGTTTAATGAGCTCCCAAAGCGGTGTCTTGGTAGAAACGCTCTTGTAACCACACTTAGTGTGATCCAGAGATGGGTTTTCAGCATCGCGCTCACCTCTTTAAGACGGATATACGTGACTAGCCACATTGTCAATATCAGAAATGCCGAAATAGAGCACGGCAGAAGATATGGGTAGGTTTTCAGGAGTTCTGATCGCCCAAAAATGTCAGGGAATCTGCCTGCTGGTTGGGAGAGCGATCCTCCAACGAGTGCTCTAAATGCCGTCAACCTCAAGTGCGAGAGATAATGTACTGTATACCTACCCAACTGTGCCTGCGATCATCCACGGAATTGGTATATAACTGTATGCCTTGGGCATATCGGTTGCGTCAGTGATGTCCATCAGGTTGCTCTTGGCCATACTATCGCTCGCATCAAATGCTCCGCAGACAATACGACTGGTCGATAATGTCAGGAATTGATGGTCACAGCTACTATTTACTGACCTGACCACCAGACCGAAGAAGGTCTTCGATAGCCCAAACGAAAACATTGATATGGAGATTGCTAATAGAGCTATCAGTATTACAGGCTTCCGCCCGATGCGGTCGGACAGTTGACTCCAATGGAAACAGTCAGAGTATGAGCTGCATAGTACGATGATTCCTGGAGAGAATAGTATCATGAACGAAGGAAAGGGCAAAACCGATGAAGGCATGCTTACAAGGATGCCGGCATAGTGTCCAACCTGGGATTCGTCTCCGCGAGTGACTCCGATGTCTCTGATGAGCTTGATAAAGTCCAGTTGTGATCAGATAAGTCCAAGCAAACAGGATATTCTCACTTGAGGAATAAACGGGTTGAGGGTCCGAGAAGAAAGAATTTCTGACATCTCCAAGAGCAGTATAACCCAAATTTGATCCCATGGAAGAGGTGTCTTGGCCATTGGCTGCTCTGGTCGTTGCAGAAGAGGTGTCTCCTCGTCATTCTGCTGCGCAATCATGGTGGTGTGAGGGAATGACTTGGATAAAAGATGTGGTTCGTTATACTACGTGAAGTCATTCCAATGAGGCGGTTGCTGACCGGCTGGTTGGCTAGCTAATCGATAAGGCCTACAACGGCAGTCGACAAGAACCTGATCAGTTGACATGGAATCAGTAATCGTACGGCACCTCCTATTATGTAGCACCCGAGTCTAGCCGTCACTGTAGCTTTATCATTGACTTATCAGAGGCACCCAGTACTGCATGCGCCGCATTACATAAATATGTCTGTGACTTGTGCGTGTACCTGGCGCCACAGGTCCGATAGCTGATTCGTTCTATGGTCTGCCTAGCTGGTGGTGCACTGTACTGTGTACACAAGTGAAAAAACAAGCTGACGCAACAGTGGTTCGGATGAGAAGTCGTTCCACAATGTCGGCGGTCGCTGCTAACTCGTCGATAAGGAGTACGGCAGTCTACAAAACAAGCTCAATGTCCGGGATTCTCCACGTAAAATCAAGCACCTCTGATTACGCACAAATATTGCCCCGTATACTTGATCACGTTGTACGGGTAATTGGCATGTAGCACCCAGGTATGGCCGCCCGTGGCTAGGGGGTAGGTACTCGCACTATCACCCAGAGGATCTCAGGCTTATGGCTAGCTAACATTCACAATCTTAAGGCCTGCGCCCATGCGAGGTAAGATTAAATGGAGGAGACATAAACAAAAAGCGACGGTAAACGATTGGACTCATCACCTATGATACATAATTGTCGGAAATTTCTATAGGTTCCTTGTAATATTTGCAAATCGAGACAATATTTAGCCGTAAGTATTGGCCCATCTGCCGTGCGATGCAATTCACTTGTAAGGGTATAGGTTACATAGTAGAATTTTGCCAGTCCTGCCTCCTACACTAGATCATAATGTACAGTCATTCGCGATAATATTATTGGGAATCTTCTCATACATTAAGATCACGGGGAAGTAATAGAGCAGTACCTACAGCGAGAAATGCAATTGCGATAAAGAAGTAGTATATCGACCACGCATCATGCCCCTCCTGCAATGAATAAGAGAAGACTGAAGCTGCAGATGCCGGGCCAACGATCCTTCCTACTGCGACAGCCATCATGACGATTCCATTCGTTGTTCCGAGCGAGGCGCGATTGGGAGCAGCTGCTCTGATGAATAATGCTATGCAGGCTATGAGATCTTCTCAGTTCAACAGAACGCAGGAAGTGCTGGATTAACATACGGAAGCACATGAGCAGGCTAGTCTTCAGCGTAAGCTGAACGGCAACACACAGCCACACAGCCATACCTATTCCATAGGCTCGAGCCAGAGCATTGGCCACTGGAAATAAGATGACGATGGGTATGCCGGAGCTAACACCGGTGATAAAGATAGCTTTTGCACCGAAGTGATCATGCAAACGAGCGTAGAAAAGCAGCTGAAATATTCCATGTATGACACCTGATGCCGCAAGTAAAGTGCCGATGCGAGGAGGGTCAAGGGAAAGACCACCAAGTTCAATTGGTGTCGCATAGAAAACAGGTAAGACCGAATTGAACCCCGTTTGGAACAGGGCCATGGTGGTATAACTCGCTGTTACACTCAACACCTTCGAGGTTAGCAAAGCGCGCAACGGAAGCGGCTTTGGTTGAAATTTTCCAGGACTCCCTTCCCCGGGATCAACTATAACGTTGCTCGATGGCTGGCGAGGCTTCGAGTATGACTGTCCGAAGAATCCTTTTTTGATTAGCTCCCAGAGCGATGTTTTGCCAGTGGTAGAGACGCTCTTGTAACCACACTTAGTGTGATCCAAAGATGGGTTTTCAGGTGCTCACCTCTTTAAGACATATATACGTGACTAGCCAAATTATAGATATGAAAAATGCTGAGATAGAGCATGGCAGGAGATATGGGTAGGTTTTCAGGAGTTCTGATCGCCCGAAGATGTCAGGGAATCTGTCTGCAGGTTGGGAGAGCGACCCCCCAATGAGTGGTCTAGTAGATGACGTAAATCTTAGTGAGAGCTAAAGTGTACCGAATGCCTACCCAACTGTATTTCCGATCATCAATGAAACTGGTATATAACTGTATGCCTTGGGCATATTGGTTGCGTCAGTGATGTCCATCAGCATGCTCTTGACTATACTATCGCTCGCATCAAATGCTCCGCAGACAATACGACTGGTCGAGAATGTCAGGAATTGATGGTCACAGCTACTATTTGACATTTAACTGGACGCGCTGACCTGACCACCAGACCAAAGAAGGTCTTCGACAGCCCAAACGAAAGCATTGAAATAACAATTGCTGATAGAGCTGTCAGTATTACAGGCTTCCGCCCGATGTGGTCGGAAAGTTGACTCCAATGAAAGATGGTCAGGGTATGAGCTGCATAGTACGATGATTGCTGGAGAGTATAGTATCATGGACGAACGAAAGGGTAAAAACGATGAATGCTTACAAGGATGCCGGCATAGTGACCAACCTGGGATTCGTCTCCGTGAGTGACTCCGATGTCTCTAATGAGCTTGACAAAGTCCAGTTGTGGTCAGATAAGTCCAAGCAAACAGGATATTCTCACTTGGGGAATAAACGGGATAAGGGTCCGAGAAGAAAGAAAGTCTGGCATCTCCAAGAGCAGTAGAATCTAAAATTGATCCCAGGGAAGAGGTGTCTTGGCCGTTGGCTGCTTTGGTCGTTGCAGAAGAAGTGTCTCCTCGTCATTCTGCGGCGCAATCATGGTGGTGCGAGGGAATGACGTGGATGAAAGATGCAGCTTGTTATACTATGTGAAGTCATTCCAATGAGGCGGTTGCTGACCGGCTTGTTGGCTAGCTAATCGATAAGGCCTAATGGCCATTGGCAGTCCACAAGAACCTGCTTGTGCTGATCAGTTGACATAAAATCAGTCACACGGCACTTCCCTATTATGTAGCACTCCGGGTATAGCCGCCACTGGCCAGGGGTTCGCCGGTGACCGTCACCTAGAGGATCTCGTTGGCTGACTGACTACTTATGGTCTGTCTAGTCCGGGTGCACTGTACACAAGTGAAGCAAGCTAACGCAACGTTAACGGGGAGTTGGGCTTATTAGATGAGAAGTCGTTCCACGAAGTCGGCGGTCGCTGCTAGCTCGTCGATAAGGAGTACGGCAGTTTACAGAACAAGCTCAAAGTTATAGGCTATGTAGCAGAAACGTAAAAGTAAGTACCTCCTATTACGCACGTTGCCCCGTATACTTGCCTTCCAATTTGTGCATCTGCGATGCAAGATTATTTTAAGGGATTTGCAAGGGTATAGGTTAGTACAGACCATAATGCACACGGTCATTCGCAATAATATTATTGGGAATCTTCTCATACATTAGGATAACGGGGAAGCAATAGAGCAGTACCTACAGCGAGAAATACAATCGCGATCAAAAAGTAATATATCAACCACGCATCATGCCCTTCCTGCAGTGAATAAGAGAATATTGAAGCCGCAGACGCCGGGCCAACGATCCTTCCTACTGCGAGAGCCACCTGCGCGATTCCAGTGGTTGCTCCGAGCGAGGCGCGATTGGGAGCAGCTGCTCTGATAAATAATATCATGGAGGCTATGAGTTGTTCTCAGTTCAACAGAACGCAGGAAGTGCTGAATTAACATACGGAAGCACATGATCAAGCTAGTTTTCAGCGTAAGCTGAACGGCAACACACAGCCACACAGCCATACCTATTCCATAGGCTCGAGCCAGGGCATTGATCACTGGAAATAAAATGACGATGGGTATGCCGGAGCTAATGCCGGTGATGTAGATAGCTCTTGCACCGAAGCGATCGTGTAAGCGGGCGTAGAAAAGTAGCTGGAATATGCCTTGTATGATACCTGATGCCGCAAGTAAAGCACCGATGCGAGGAGGGTCAAGGGAAAGACCACCAAGTTCAATTGGTGTCGCATAGAAAACAGGTAAGACTGAACTGAACGCCATGTGAAACAGGCCCATGGTGGTATAACTCGCTGTCACACTCAACACTTTCGAGGTTAGCAAGGCGCGAAGCGGAAGCGGCTTTGATTGGACTTCTCCAGGATTCGCAGGATCAAATGTAACATTGCACGATGACTGGCGAGGCTTTGAGCGTGACTGTCCAAAAAATCCCCCCTTAATTAGCTCCCAAAGCGGTGTCCTGGTAGAAACGCTCTTGCAACCGCACTTAGTGTGATCCAGAGATAGATTTTCAGCATCGCGCTCACCTCTTTGAGACAAATATACGCGACTAGCCAAATTATCGATATAAAAAATGCCGAGATAGAGCATGGCAGGAGATATGGGTAGGTTTTCAGAAGTTCTGATCGGCCAAAGATGTTGGGGAATCTGTCTGCTGGTTGGGAAAGCAATCCCCCAATGAGTGGTCTAGTAGATGCCGTGAACCTTAGCGCGAGGAAAAATGTACTGTATGCCTACCCAACTGTGGTCGCGATCATCACTGGAATTGGCGTATAACCGTATGCCTTGGGCATATTGGTTGTGTCAGTAATGTCCATCACCAAGGTCTTGAGAACAGCACCGCTCGAATCAAATGCTCCGCAGATAACACGACTATGGTCAAGTAATTGACAATCACAACTACTATTCGATATTCAACTGAATACACTGACTTGGCTACCAGACCAAGGAAGGTCTTCGACAACCCAAATGAAAACATCGAGACAGAAATTGCTGATAGAGCTGTCAGCATTACAGGCTTCCGCCCGATGTGGTCGGACAGTCGACTCCAATGAAAAATAGTCAGGGTATGAGCTGCAGAGGATGATGATCCCTCGAGAGAATATCAGCCACGAATAAGGTGGAGGAGCGATGAAGACATGCTTACAAGGATGCCGACATAATAACCAACCTGGGATTCGTCTCCGTGAGTGACTCCAATATCTCTAATGAGCTTGACAAAGTTTCAGCTGTGATCGGATATAAGTCCACCGAAGGGAATATACTACTCACTTGGGGAATAAACGGGGCAAGG